CTCTTTCTCTCTCTCTCTCTCTCTCTCTAGCTCTCGTGAATGTACGGAGTATGCACTGTATATCCTCGGTTGGAAGGTGCCATTTTGTTTAGATTAATCCACCTTTTTTTCTTTAGCGTGACCGTAGTACGACGCAAGTAGATATTATGGGGAGTAAATCTGACATGAAAGCTCCCCATTCGGTTGCCTGCTTTCCACGGTCCGAGCAGCAGCAGGAGGAGCATTTGGATAGATTCTACTCTCTCGTGCCTGCAAGACAGGCACCTGCCTCCCTACCTAGCAAGAACAGACCTTTTGGCGGCCGTAGGTATTTCGTACTCCGTACACGTACACTCAGGTGCTGGTGGTGTTGGTGGTGCTGGTACTTCTGGCTGGGCTTGGGTCTCTGGATCTCTTCCTTCCACCAAATCCACTCACTCACTCGCTCGCTCACTCACCTACCATGTATCATCATCAATAGACCCAGCCCGACCCAAACCCGAACCCGACCTCCATTTCCTAACTAGAAGGTCCAAAAACCTAAGATCTTTGACCCGACCAGTAACCGCACAGCCTCAGCTCGAATAAAAAGGGCTGCATTGCATCTAGGCCTCGTCTATCCGGACTGGCTGGCGATCTCTAACCGACTCTCACCCACTATTGAGATCGATCACGGATGTCCCCGTAGACCGGGGGGAGAAGGGAAGGGGAAAGGGAAGGGGAAGGGTGGCTCATGGATGGATCGACCCACTTGAAAGGGAGATAGAGCCAGGAAAAGAGGCAATTGCGTATGACTTACTCCATATGCCATACGTACATACGTACATACATATGTACTCTGTATGAGATTTGTTGTGAATTGTTCACGTGCTTTCTTTCAAAAAGACCCCTCTGTATATTCTCCGAGAGTTGAATCATAGGGAAACCACCTATGCTCCTATACTACTCAACCCCAAGGTTTGTCAAGATATGTAAATGTCCTAGGTAGTTGAAACCCGTGACTGAAGAATCCGCAGCACCGGATGGGTGCTCATCCATGCACGTCTCCTGTTTCTATGCCCAGGACTGGGTCTTTTCGCGATCTCAAAAGTGGCAATCTCCTCCGGGCTACTCCGTAAAGTGGCGAAGCATGCAGACAGTCAGACAGACAGGACAGACAAGCAAGACAGCCCGAGGGCGAGAGTCAGAGACGCAGACTGCAAAATCCCGTGCGAGAGAAGAATTGACTGGTCATTTCGCCTCCATCGTCTCATGATCTCGGGGGGCGGAAGAAAAAAAAAAACTTTCTTTTCTTCGATCGCTGGGTTATGTACGGTGTACGGGCCTACACATGCACGGTTCCATCCATGTACGAAGCACATACCCTTCACGGGCCGTCGCCCTTCCTGCTTCCTCATGGGAAGGAAGATGATGGGTAAGAAAGTTAGATACACGGTACATGATTTGCCGCACCCGTCCCGATGGAGATGAAGATGAGATCACTCACTTCTGGTCCCGAAGCGTGCATGACTTCATCTGTTCTTGTTTCTTCAGTCGGCCTCTGCCAAGGCCTGCAGTTGCAGATTGCAGCAGATTGCAGATTGCAGTGGCTCCATGGGGTGGACAGCTGGCACTGGATCCATCGGGTTCAGCTCGACGCGGTCTTCGTCACCGTCGGCTCTCGAGTCGACCTGCTTCAGTGGGGTTGGATCATTCTTAATTAGAGTCTAGTGGTGAGCCATAGTGGTAGAAGGTTAAAAAAGGTGTCATTGAGAAGGACGACTATCATAAACAGGTAAACGTAAACTCCGAAAGGAATGTCTATCAAAGAAATAAGAACAAAACTGTTAGGCTTTGGCCCTCAAACCTGGACTTTGTCTTGCCCATGGGGCTTTGCGGCAAAGTCAACATCGCAGATCACCCGCCACTGCTCCGGGCCCACAGGGAGGTAATCAACATTGTATAAAACTCCGCGCCAACAGGTTCCGAGGACAGATCCCAAATTAAGAATTTTGCTCAAACGAGATTCAATTATTATCATAAGAACAACAAGGTACTGGACAAAAGCCCCAATGGTTATCAGACGACTCTACACGACCATAAACAAGGGTTTATAAAGTTATAAAGAAAAGACACACATTCAATCGACTCGGCATCTGCATTTACAGAGCGTACTGGACGAGAGCACCGAAGACGGCGGCCAGACCCATGGCGGGCATGTTGGCAACGTTCATGGGGGAGGCACCCTCGCTGGAGGAGGCAGAGGCGCTGCTGCCGCCGCTGGTGCCGCTGGCACCGGAAGAGCCGTCCTTGGTGGTGGGGTGAGCCTTGTTGCCGGAGCACTCGTACTTGCCGCGGATGGTCTTGTCCTCCTCGAGCTTCTTGAAGGCGTCGCAGCTGAAGTTACCAGTGCTCTGCATGTTGAAACCGCCACGGACGTTCTTCAGGGAAGGAAGGGAAGCCCTAGAGATAGAATTAGTGTATGAATATAGAATGAATCCAGAAGTCCCACGAAGCAAAACACTTACTTGTCGAACTTGCCGCTGAAGTCAATGGCACCGGTCACGGTCTCGAGGTCAGGGAAGCTGATCTCGCCGAGCTTGTTGTTACGGGCGATCTGGAAGCCACCGTTGACCTTGGTGAGCTTGCCCATGCTGATGTTGGCGAGCTTCTGGTTGTCGTTGAAGACCAAGTCACCGGTCTCGGTAAGGTTGGGGGCGCTGAAGGACTTGAACTTGTCACCCCAGAAGCCGAGCTGACCGGTCAGCTCCTTGAGGGAGGGAATGGAGACGGAAGAAACGTTGCGGAAGGTCATGTTGCTACCACCGGCAAGGTTGGGGAGCTCAATCTCCAGGGAGTCCATGTTACCGGCGAAGTTGATCAGACCGGTGGCGTTCTTCAGGTTGTTCACGTTGACGGTCTTGAGAGAAAGGTTCTCGGTGATGTCGAAGGTACCGACGGTCTTCAGGGAGATACCGTCCAGGTTGGTCAGACCAGTGTTGGTGATCGTGACATCGTCGGCCTCGGTGATACCCTTGTTGAAGTCGAGGTTCTGCAGCTGGGGCAGAGCGGCCCACTTGACAGTTCCGACCTTGTTGAGAGAACCGAAGCTGAGGGTGGTGAGGGTGGTGAGACCGTTCAGCTTGAAGGTGTCACCAATGGAACTCAGGCTCGAGGCGGCCAGAGAGCTCAGGTTGTTGGCACCATCGACAGTCAGACTGCCGGCAATCTGCTCAACACCGTTGATGTTGATGTCGCCGGAGACGTGCTCGCTGATCTCAACGTCACCCTTGAGGGTCTTGCAGCTGGAGTACTTGTCGGCATCCTCTTGGTTTTCGATGGTGATGGACTTGCCGCTGCTACCACAGTCTACGCGATTGTCAGAATGGGACTGGTCTCTTGAGTCCAGGTATTATTGCGCAGTGCTCTACTTACCGGCAGCGAAGACGGCCTGGGTCGCCATCAAGGCGGGGAGAGCATATTTGAGGAAACCCATTGTTCGATGTGATTTCGCACTACTGTTGATGAAACCCAGTTAGCATTTTCCGATCTGGTATCGAGACAGCGCGCAAGCCCTCAACCTCCATCAGGGAATGCAAAAGACCGCAAAGGAGGATAGGAGGGGCAAGTAAACAAACATGACTTGCGAGAAGATGAGTACTGTTCAAGCAGAGACTTACCAAAGATGGATGAGATGGATATGATAACGGGGCGATAGACGGGCCCTTTGAAGACAATATAGAGTGGCAGCGAAAGAGCTGAAAAGGGGTTTAAGATAAATAAACGAGTGAAAGAAAAGAGAGGAGGCTTCAAACGAAGGGGAAGCTTAAGACGGCCGGGTCCAGGGAAATGCACGGATTAGGCAGGCACGTTCTCAAAGAATGAAGAGGAGAGGGAAAGAGAAAAAGAGGGACTGGATGGCAAAAAAGAAAAGGCGTCAGAAGTGGGAAGGAAGAGACAGACTTTCAGGGAGGACAAGGAAAGGAGTCAGTCGTGGCCCGAGAAGTGGAGCTGGTCGTTTTGAGACTTTTGCGACGGGGCGTTTCTCCTTGCGAGGGCGTCTGGTATCAGGTACGGTACTGTACTCCGTACAGGAGTATCCCGTCAGGGCGAGGACGTGGTCAGGTACCGTATGGTATGTATCCAATTTGTTTACTATTTTTCTTATTGATCAACGTCCTGGATTCTCTCGATTATTGACTTGTCCTGCTATTTACTATTCCCTCCCTTCCAGGTTCCTCACTTCATAAACAATAACAATAACAACAATAACAGGAACTCGCAGGGGGGGGGAGGAATCCATTAACCACAATTGTCCAATTCATTCCCCCCCCCCTTGGTCTACCACACGGGGAGGAGAAAAAAAAGAAAAAAAAAAGACCCGCGGCGCATCCCGCAGGCTTACGCAGGAATCCTGTTTTTCCCGTTCACTTCTTTTGGCCGGAAATGAGTCCGTTGTGGCTAGTCCGCCCCATCCTGTAACACCTCGCCAATGGTCGGGGCTGCCCCCCGCCGCTGATTCGCTCCCCGAACCCCCTTTAGCTTCTGCTCATTTTCTCATTTTCATGTCTGAAACAGTTTGGTCTGGTTTGGTCTTGCCTGACACCTCCAGTGGTTACCTATTATTATCATGATTTCTGATCTCGAGGGTTTCGCCATCGGTTGGTACAATCCATCCGCGGTACGATGTACTCTCGAGGTTCAGCGATCAGAGTTCTGCACTTCGCGTAGGGCAGCCTCCCCGTCTGGAGTAGGTAAATCATCAACATCAATAGGTACCCATATTTACTTGTCGAGTAAACTCTCTGCCAGCTGTTCCATCCAACAGAGCAACGATATTCCGTGCCTGGCGTGAACGACAGCGGATTTGCTCAGTTTTCATGATCATCGTGAAGATCGGTTGCAACATTAATCTACCAGCCGACTAGTATAGCCGCTAGGAGGGGCCAGACTCCGGTACGGATACCAGGCCGATACTCTCCTCTGGGACGTTCCTCGACCAAAATGTCGCCATGTGTATATCTGTAGTTCTATACGGGGCACTATCCAGCCATTTCGATATAACGATCATTATCCGCCGCCGGATCGTCCGTCGACCTCTGTTTCCGGCCATCCCATCCTCCTTGATACCGTTGCCCATTTGATAGGTATTCTAGAAAGGCGACTGGAATGCGACCGTCGTCGTCATGGTCCAACCAGAGGCTGAGTCGACCAAAATAATCCAGCAGAAAAGTTGCTAGGAGAATTCCAAGGTCAGAACCTGGTGATCGGTCCGATACGGTGGGAATTCCCAGTTGTCCTGCGACTCCTGCCTGCCACTCGGACGGTATGCGACGCCGGGTAGTTGGCGGGGTGCTGGCATTTGCCATTTGCCTCGTCGCGAAATGTAGCGGATTCAGGTGACCGACAGGACCCCATTCTTCCATTCATACTTTACGAAGTATCTTCGAGAGAACATCCTCAATCATCACAAATACTCAGTGTACTGTTTTTGTGCGAGGACTGGACCTCGAAGCTTGGATTCGGCTGGCGTTCGGGTACCATGGACGAGGTGGATCATGGTCAAAAGTCACAAGTATCCGTACCAGCAGAGAATAATAAAAATAAAGTGGCAAAGTCCAGATCCAATCACGTGTCGATGTATCGCGCTGGTAACAGGTTCTGTCACATCGTTACATACTGTACTGTCGCGCGGCCCACCATGCAAACTTGGACTGTGCAAAGCTCCTGAAATTGTCATCTTGCGATCACTCACCAACTAATTATCGAGTCGCGACTTGCGGAAATATTCATCATCGTCACTTATAATAATAGACGCCTTCAGATCCCTTCCCTCCCTTCGTCAACGAATTCTGTTACTGATGATGTAGCACTGCGTCGTGATCGCTTCAACGCGAGGGTGTCCTCGATTCATCGTTTCGTCCATGAAAATAGCATCAACCACTCGATGCTGTAAGGAGGTCCAACCGGGACTCGATCCTGTGACATCGACTCGAGGTCAGCTCGAGAATCGCCCTCCTTCATAAGATGAATAATGCTTAGCATTGTTGTCTGTCGACTCACTGACTGTCGGTCACTTATTTCGATCGCTTGCGCAGTTTAGAGTTGCTCACTTATCAGCTCCGCCGGCGTGGACGCCCCATTTGTCTGCTCCACAACGTATCCGTTGCAATTAATCCTATGGGGGTGGGATTTGTTTAATTACTCCTGTAAGTCTGTAGTCCGCCCACACTCCACGGCCTCTGAGACTCTCCCGCTTGCTGCTGTATATAGTATCATTGTCTCTTGTCAATTTCAAAACTCCCTCGTCTCATCGACTCATCTTCAGGACCATGTCATTTCTTTGTCTGGGTGTGATCTTCTTTCAAGTTACACCAGGTCGGGTCTGATCATCGAATAATGTAATCATCCAGCAGCACGTACCCCCGAACGCCACCAGAGGCCAAGCACAGGTAGCTGTACGCTTGATAGGGAGGATTAATGGCCTCGTCGAGGACTGAGGACGAAGAACCCTTCATGGATGGAACCCTCGACGCGAAAAGAAAAAAAAAAAAAAAAACACGCGCATAATTCAATCAATTGATGATCACAGAATAATATTATAGTTCTCACTACAGCGTTCGCTCGTGCAACCACGTACTGTGTATGTATTTTGCTTATCCTCTGGATGGTTGTATTTCGTCGGAGATAGTTATGCAAGTGCAGAGTTTGGGGCCGACCATCCTCATCTTACACCCCTGCTAGCAGTGCCACTCTCGTGCTTCCGGGCCAGACTGGCTCGATAATTGTAATGCTATCCACGCAGGAGGTGCTATTATCTGACCACACTGGCATGCCGAATCGGGCTGTTGGCTTCCAGTAGTATTTCCCGAGCGAAGCTTTCGATGTTAAATTGTCGATGGGGGCTTTTGCATCCTGTGACTGCTGTCATTGTATTCTGAGATCCTCACTAGAGTCTGGAACCAACGGCCCGCGTATTAATAGTATTCATAATTTGATAGTGACCCCCCTTGGCGGCCTGACCCTGCTCCGTCCTGAGCTGCTTTAATTATTACGGCTTCTCCACCAGGGTCTGGCGGTTGCGGTCCGTTTAATTACTTCCTCCCTCTTGGGCCAGTTTTTTTGCAGTTTGACAGGACGATGCTCCGTACTTTACCTGGCCGTCGGGTCTTAGATAGATGGCCGAAAACTCACCCGGTGGGCTGCGTCTGCCAGATGACGCAAACTGGGGTTGTTCTGTGTTACCTAGATATAATTCTGATTCTGATCTTTATGGTTGATACCGCAGACCCGTGAGATCGACCCGGGCGAGCTTCGTGTTTCGCCTGGCTTTGTTTACACTTTACGAGACCTAAAAGAGCCCTGTACGTAGTACTAGTAGTATCTAGACAGAGGTTGGAAATTTTACCCTGCAAGAGAAGGTTTACTTCGACCAGACTAGAATGCGAGACATGGCGAATAACGTTCCTGCTGGGCGACTATGGGGTAGGAGTAGCGGGCAGTACTACCACACCCTTTGACCTGTGCGAGTGCTCCTAGACGCGAGGGTGGCCTTCGCTTTACTGAGTATGTTATCATGCATGGGCTGAGTGCACTTAGTAGGGATATTGAATGATCAAATTGAACTTATGCGACCAATAAACAATATTCTTGTTGGTAGTGGCCGAAGTTTTGCCGGATTAGCCAACATACAAATGTCGAGAGTAAATAGGAACTACCGAACTCCATAATGCCACAGGACGAATCGTCTGTACGAACCAGTAGTACAAACCTGGTCTATATCTGCTTCTCGTATCCAAGAAAAACCATCAAATTTTAGATGTAACCCCCCGCAAAATCCCGTTAACGGGTTGGCAAGAATGTGGACAGGAACAAAGCATGGATGACTTATCCGAGCTGACATGCGTCACATCCCAAGAGCGCCAGACATCAATGCATACCTGCCAACAAACAGACGCGGTTTGCTTGCAACCTTCATAGCTATAGTCCACGTCAATCGATACATACACACCCGTCACCTCCCGGACCAGTCTATATAAATAGACCTTCATCTTAATGATGGTTCTCAGGCGATCTGCTCGCCTAAGCGCAACACCCAGCAAGGCCGCATCGCCCCTATTGCAAGCCCGCACTCAGACAAACAAAGCCGGCAGGGCTCCGCCCAGCAGCAGCAAAGGAGTGACCAAGGCGCGAAAAGCACCGGAGAAGAACAAGGGTGCCTTGAACTCGAAAGTGAAAAAGACCCCCCTCCCGCCTAAGGCGACAACAGCACCAGCAGCCGGGGACGGCACTGCGGGCGGACATGAAGCAGCAGCGCCCCAGAACATCTTCGATCCATCCACCACCACGACTAGCTCTACCAACCGGTCGCTGCATTCTACCCCTCCGCCTCTCGACCGACCCGTCGAGCTTCACGGGACAAATGCCCCCCTCCTCACGCCCCATGGCTCTTCGGTTGTTGCGTATCCGCCCGGTAGCAGCACCGAGGACGCCTCTCCCAGGAAGACCGGTCGACCTCGTCCGACGGCCACTACGGGCACGCTCCTAGACCAAGCCCTCGCGCACTTGATCGCCGCGGACTCGCGACTCGAGCCCGTCATCAACCAGCATCCGTGTCCCCTCTTCTCGCCCGAGGGACTGGCCGAGCCGATCGATCCGTTCCGCGCTCTGGTCGTCAGCATCATCGGACAGCAGGTGTCAGGCGCGGCGGCCAAATCGATCCGCGACAAATTCGTCGCCCTGTTCAATACGACGACCGAAGGTCAAGGAGATGATCCTGCGAACTCCGGGGGGAATATTCGATTCCCCACCCCCGAGGAGATCATCCGGCTTGATATCCCCACGCTGCGGACGGCAGGTCTCTCCCAGCGCAAGGCCGAGTATATCCAGGGGCTCTCGCAGAAGTTCGTAGACGGGGACCTGAGTGCCCGGATGCTGGTGAATGCCAGTGATGAGGAACTGTTCCAGAAACTGATCGCCGTCCGAGGCCTGGGCCAGTGGTCCGTCGAGATGTTCGCCTGCTTCGCCCTGAAGCGCATAGATGTGTTCTCGACTGGTGATCTGGGTGTGCAGTAAGCGGGCCCCCTATTCCTTTTTCTACGCAATTCGAAGCCTGGCAGCACCGGTGCCGTGCTTGCCATACCCCCAGATTTCGACCATGAACTGACATTTTGAAACAGAAGAGGCTGTGCCGCATTCGTGGGTAAGGATGTGAGTAAGCTCAAGGCAAAGGGAGGCGGTAAGTTCAAGTATATGGCCGAGAAAGACATGTTGGAGTTGGCAGCGAAATTCGCCCCATACAGGTACGTGCAGAGCCCTCAATCCCCTCTTCCCGGTCCACGGCGAAGACAAAAGAGCCACCAGTCTCACATGGACACGTAGGAGCCTTTTCATGTGGTACATGTGGCGGGTAGAGAACGTAGACATTGCTGTATTGAATCCATGAGCCAAACGTGAGAGCATCTCGTTAGTTCGTTCGTTCCACTGTTTCTATGGGATTCGGTTGGAGTCCATTGATTTGATTGGTATAACATGTATTATATGACCAGTGTTGAGTGACACGATCTTGGCCGCCTGGTAACAGCATGCATGAATGGCATGGCCTTTCCTGCACTCGGTCATGCCAGCACCAGATTACTGTTGTCCTGGGGATGGGTATGGAGATGAACCCGAACAGCGCCGGTAGGCCATGCTCCCAGCGCGAACCCCGTTGTCCTCATCTCGTGCTACGGATTACTCGTCAAGATTAACGTGCAAGGATGTGATGGTCAACAAAATCGAGACAAATGAATTTGTACAGTATCAGTACACGTGATCGAACGTATCAAAGTCAATTAACTTCCAGCGCAGGTCCATCGCAGCGAAGCGCGACGGTCAGAAAAAATCCCCCCTTGTCTCTCTATCTAGCCTGTCTATTTCCCCGGCGCTCCTGTTTGTATTTTGCGGCAGTAATGTCTGAGATTGGACATTTACCGCTTGACGACGAGGTTGTCGAGATCGGCGCGCTCCTGCTGCTCCTTCTCGATTTCGCGGATGATAGGGCTCAGATATTCGACGTCCTATTGACAATTGTCAGCCTCGAGTCCCTTCGATAACTCCTATAGTGATATCTGATCCTCTTTCGAGGCGTTGGATCGATCGGATATGGGTCGTGCATCAGGTGACAAATCCGGCTCACGGGATTGGCCGATGGCTTTTGCGGAGGTATGGGGACGAATTGCAGGCGAGATTATACGAAAATCGACTCACCTCGCTAGGCTTGGTCTGCTCAGCAGCGGGAAGGAGGGTGTGAGAGACAGAGCACTGATTGAGAAGGTGGGTTAGTTCGCTGATTTGCTTCCGGAATCATGGGAGGTCGGTTCGAACCTGGAAAGCCCTGCGGATACGGAAAACACGGTCGTAGGCCTCCTTGGGAGGAAGACGCTTGATGGCGGTCTGGACGGTCTCGCTCTCCTCGGGGACCAGGTCATCGGCCCTGATCACGGTCAGCTCTGCGACTTTTTTTTTTTTCTTTGGGGATCAATGGTATCAAAATTGTTCCGCGGACAAGGCGCAGATCGGGACCCGGAACAGAGACCGAATAGGAATAGAAAAAGGAGAGGGTCGACAACCCAATCGAGCTCTATCGCATCTCCAAACCCATTCTATTTGGTCCCTGCCCTTGGGAATCGTGGAGGGATGGGCGTTTACCTCAACCCGAGTTTCCGGTAGCCGGCAGCGTCGGTGTACCAGTTGGCAATTGGCGTCATCCAGCGCTTGAGCCAGGGGCGCTTGACGATGTAGCCGGCAAGAGAAGGAGCGGACATGGTGAATGATTCCAGAAGAGGAGGTTCTGGGTCCAATTGACGGGATGATGTGGGAGGAGGAGGTGGTGGTTCGCGGAGTGTCAGTCAAGCTGAGCGAGAGTTGGCCCGACGTTGGAGATTGTGCAAAACGGAGGTTCGACGGCTGACTTTCCCAAAAACATCCGATCCTTCATGCCTGAGGCATAAGGTTCACCCTGCCCGCTCCGACAGGCTACACGTGACCGATGGTCTCACTGCTGCCTCAGGCCTCCATGCGCTTGAAGCCGGGGTGGATTCTCTCTCTACCTGACCGGAAGAGACTCTCGTAACTTGGATTCACTTTCGTTCACAATCCTCCGCGCTGTCCCGGGTTCGCATTTCTCCCCGACACTTCTAGCGGACTTGATTCTCTTGGGCCCCAACCTTCTTCGATTGCCGCTGTCTTTGAACTGATAGGTATGATGGTCGTCAACCGTTGAATCATTCGCCCTGTCATTTTAGCTCCTGTCGAGGAGCCGCGCTGCTTTCACGAGACCCCGCCCCGTCTGTGCTTCGGATAGGGCAACGTCCAACGATTAGACAATCCGGCAGCATCGGAACACTTCGCACGCAATTCCTGCCCTCCTCCTCCGCTCCTTCGTCTCAACCTACAAGCTCCCCGAACGACGAAATCCGTCACCGCCGCGATCAAAACAGATTCTTTTGGGTTCCGGAGCGAGCACCGATATGCTCGGGTCCGGGAGCCCTCGTGACAACTAAGACGGATAGATAGATCGATTCGAGTGTTGGTGGAGATACTCAAACGATGTTTTCAGAAGGCCACGGCACTTCAGGTGCCGAGGGCTCTCAACAACAACAACAACAACAGCAGCAGGTTACACATCCCGACAATTCCCCGTCATCCCATCTCCATGGGACTTCCGAAGCGCAATCAAGTCCGTTTGTCACTCGCCTCGAACTGTTTCTCACGCGTGTTCCCGACATCTACATCGCGCCGTTCTGCGGAGCCAGTGCCGGCGTGGCATCTGGTATCGTAACATGCCCCCTCGACGTGATTAAGACCAAGCTGCAGGCTCAGGGAGGCTTCGCACGCAGAGGGCCTAATGTGGTTGAAACCAAAGCACTATACCGAGGCATGCTAGGCACGGGCAGAATGATATGGCGTGAAGATGGCATTCGAGGCCTCTACCAAGGACTTGGCCCCATGCTTCTCGGATATCTGCCGACGTGGGCCGTCTATCTGGCGGTCTATGACCGGTCTCGAGAATACTTTTATGAATCTACCGGTTCGTTAAACACTCCGTTTTCTCCGCTTGAGATATTGATCCGCTAAACTTCATGCACTGCACAGATAGCTGGTGGCTCTCAAGAGGTTATGCTTCCATATCGGCCGGTGCCTGCTCCACGATAGCAACGAATCCAATCTGGGTGATCAAAACACGACTCATGTCCCAAAGCACCAAATCCAATAGCGAGGGTCTCCGGGCTCCATGGCAGTATTCCGGCACGTGGGATGCGGCTCGCAAAATGTACAAGACCGAAGGAATCCGCTCATTTTACTCTGGACTTTCGCCCGCCTTGCTAGGACTGACTCACGTGGCCATCCAATTCCCGCTGTATGAATATTTGAAAATGGCTATAACTGGATATGGAATCGGAGAGCATCCCGACAATGGAACCTCCCACTGGATCGGAATCTCTTTTGCTACCTTCCTGAGCAAAATATGCGCCAGCACCGTGACATACCCTCACGAAGTACTACGGACCAGGCTGCAGACGCAGCAAAGGACAGCCCCTGCGCCATCGCCCGAGGAGATAGCATTCCGTGGAGGACTGGACCATCCCCAGGACCGTGGTAGGCCTCCGGGTGCCGCATCGTCTGATGGCATGCCTAACCGACCCCGATACACAGGGATCATCCGCACATGCCAGACCATTCTGAAAGAAGAAGGATGGCGCGCATTCTACTCTGGAATCGGCACCAATTTATTCCGTGCCGTTCCGGCTGCTATGACCACAATGCTGACCTACGAATACCTTCGCAAGCACATCGGTCACCTTCAGCACGAGGGGTCGTTGAAGCGGAATATGGAGGAGGAAACGCCATAAGATCCGTTTGGAATATAACTGGACGAATAGATTACTTGGTGGCTGATACGAACCGAGTCGGCGGTCTTTTTCTCTCCTTTCACACGGTCTGCACCCTCTGCTATTGGCCACAGAAGAAGCCATTTATTTGCTCCGGCGTTTTCTTGTCGCTCGTACCTGCGAATAAGGCCCTCTTTAGAATTTTTCTTTTTCTTTTTCTCCTCTTTTCTTTTTCTTGCATCCTTTATATCTTATTACGTCTCTGGCTACCGTTTACCGGCTACAAGCTTGCCTCTTGTCTACACAACGGTCATGGAACCGCCTCGACTGAACGAACGTTTATCGGCATCGATGGTGAACAGGACATGGCGTTAACCCTAGAGTGGTCAGGCTCTCTTCTGACATGTGAAGATCTTTATTTTCCCGATTTCATCCGTCATATGGTGGGCTTCTTTACCCGGCGAAAGACTGCGATGTTTTTCTGAGCGTTGATTTTGAATCGGCTTTTTGCATGTGTTCGCAATGTACATACAATCCTCCATTTATACCTACTGCCTTAAGGACCTCTCGACAGCCCAGCGGCTACACTAAGGGCTAATGTAAATGTTTGATATGTCTGAAATTGAAGAGAACGAGTAGACAACGAAAGCGGAGCCCCAATGTTACGTGCTGGCTTGATGCCCTACGACGGAGCTGTTAATGCCTGGGAAATGATGTCAGGCGGGGCCCACGTGACACACCCACAAAGTCGAAATTTCCAGTTTTTGGATCTCCCCTTTTAAACTTCCTGACAACAACAAGTCGGTGGAACGAATGATGAAAACATTGAAGATCCTGCGCCCTGTCTCCGCGCAGACGCAGTCAATCAGATGTCTTGAATTCGTCCTCCTTGTTGAGCGGGTTCTGCATTTCTGCGTCGTTCGGAACAAGGATCTTTTTCCCCTTTCTGGTTACCTGTTGCTCTCTGCTGTAGAACCCATCATCCAACCGTCAACGTTAACACTTACAGCGCAGTGGGAAAAGGTACTGTTTATCCTCCCTCCCTTCTCCCTTGTCGCCCGTCCATTCCAGAAGATGAACCCTTTTATGTGAGATTCGCGTTCCAATAATGGGCCGGATATGACTATTACAATACACTGAAAATTCTGATCCTGGAATGACGGCGAACCTGATTTGATCTGTCCGCTGTTATCTCTGCAATAACCCATTGCTAACGTCTATTGACTAGGTATTCTCTCGAGAAAACACAGTCCGCTTTGTCGCTAGCTAGTAGACTTGATAAAAATATAATACTTGTTTTGACACTTGGTCACAATGAAAGAAAAATGCCACAACAAACTCCGCAGATGCATGTCGATCGCCGTAGCCCCAGAGTTAGTACAAACAGTACGGAGTGTACACGATACTTCCAGAGCATCCAGCCAGCTGTTTCGATTTTCAACTCGACGCTTTTCCGTTCCTTTGCTCGGAGTCCCGGCTTTCTTCGAGAGCCTGCCGAACCCAGGCCGGCTGGTCGTTCCTGTCAGCCGGAGGTCTCGGACGGGAGGCCGGAGTAGGACTCGCCGACGAGACCTGGGCTTCGCGACGAGCGCTGCGGATAGAGCTAACGCAGTAGGTCGTAAGGAGGATGGCCATGGTGAAGGCGGCTATGGGGGCGTTGAGTGACTGGAGTTGGGTTAATTTTTCGGTCGAGCTTCCGGGTATATATATGTTTACGTTCAACGTGGGAAGTGACATGCATACACATATGAGAGAGTGTGAGAAAAGGAAAGAAAAGGAAATGAATCAAAGGATATTAAATTAAATTGAAACCGACTTACGCCCGACGTTCGACCCAGGGTCTTCTTGGACATGGTGAGGAGGAGTTCCCGTGACGAGAAGATTATCAGATGGAGGGCGACGAAGGGGCGGGCTGATAAGGTATTGATTACAGGACGCGTTACTCCCTCGGAGGCGTTCCCGTTGGTTGCGACCTGCGACAGGGATGCAACTGCCGTCTACTATCGGGTAAGCGACGTTTCGTACGAACCGCCGGGGCTGGACTGCCTTTCCTTTACTAATTCTTTCCTTTTCCTCGGAGCGTCCGTTCGAGCATTTCCCCTCCCTCCATTGCGCTCCAGGAAAGAGGTCAATGTCAATGGTTAATGACATTGTGCTGAATGATCTGTAATAATATCCTCTCGAATCATAATCTAGCAATCACTCATCGAATCCACTTGACTCAAGGTGAAGTCAGAAGAAGTCATAACAACCGGACTTCAGAGCTCGGGGGAACGTCATCTCCGAGGCCGGACCCGCGGAGGCAACGGGGCTTCCGAATGCGGCCTAGCGTCTAAGGGCGAGGAATAATCAATCAATGAATTAATTCGATCGATCTTTCATCGACATTACATCCAACTCTACTAAACCTACCTAACCTTTTCCTTCCTCTCTCTATCTTCCATCTCACTACCCCATATTCTCCATCGTCTCTAACGGCTTTTTGAATTGCCTTTTCATCACCAAAGATACCTTTCTTCTACTCCGCTCTCTCCTAATTCTTCACATCCTTCATCATGTTCCGTCGTCTCGTCACAGTCGCCCCTCGCTCCGTCGGCACCCTCGTGTCGCCTCGCATCACACCCGCCCTGTCCGGCCTGCAAACGCAGCAGCCCATCTTCCGCGCATCTCCCGCCCCTCAGCGACGAGGCTACCACGAGAAAGATAAGTCGCCCGGTCGCTCTTCACAGGGATCTCTGCGGACGCGTTGCCACCATCGGTCCAATGAACCCTCAAGCCCTCCCATCACCTCCTCCAACCCCGTCAAAAGGAAAAAGACCCGAGGAAAATACTGACCGTCTTAGCACTGCTAGACCACTACAACAACCCGCGAAATGCCGGATCCATGAAGGTCGGCGAGGACGTCGGCAGCGGCCTTGTCGGTGCTCCCGCCTGCGGTGACGTGATGAAGCTCCAGATCCGTGTCGACAAGGACACGCACACGATCAGCGACGTCAAGTTCAAGACTTTCGGCTGCGGTAGCGCCATCGCTAGCTCTTCTTATCTCACCGAGTTGGTGCGCGGCATGACTCTTGAGGAAGCCGGCAAGATCCGTAACACCGATATCGCCAAGGAACTGTGCCTTCCCCCTGTGAAGCGTAAGTGTTGATATCCTTTCTTTTCTCGTGGCTTAGAAACAGTGACTAATCAGAAACCGAAACAGTGCACTGCTCCATGCTTGCTGAAGATGCTATCAAGTCGGCTATCTCGGACTACTACACCAAGAACCCCAAGGCTCGTTCGACCAACCTCGGCGGCACCGGTGCCTCCATGCCTCAGGTTGAGGTTGAGGTCGAGAAGACTGGCGGTGCCTCCGCTAGCCTTTAAATTTTTTTTAATTAAAACACCAAAAATAATCTCCACCGAAAAAAAAGATTGAAATTCTCAAATCTTACCCAAAAACACCAACCAAAAGAAACACCAACGTGTTGTGAAAGGAACAAGGCGATACCAAATATGATTCCCTGATTGTGTTGAATTTCTTTTTTTCATGTTCCAAACTCAGATTGGAAATTCGGGTTTCCGAAAGTTTTCCCCTTTTTCTTTTCTTGAATGATGTACAGATTTTTCACTTATTACTCTACCATTCTCTTCGGACTTTTTTTTTTTTTTTAATACTTCGCGCTGGCAGATTGACTCAGGATATGCAAGGCGAAAACAGCTTTGTGTTTTTGTTCGCCTGTATTAGTTATTTTCAATGGAATGAATGCTCTTGCTTGCGTGTTGTGATGATTCATCTTTTCTTTATTCTGCTATTCTGGTACCTGGCGTGATTGGACTTGCGATGCCATCTTTAGATTTTATACAAACTAGGAAATTCACCCCTCATTCTTGAATAGCTCGTTATTTGTTCTGAATTCGAACGGATACCGCGTAAGATATTTATGGATCTATTCATCTATTCACATGACAGTGGTGATGCAAACTGCCTGCCGACCCGGATTCTATGAGTATGGTACATACAATATTTTATTGAACCATAAAGGAAACAATCAAACAATCAGAGCAAACGGTGGGGGAACAATTATATGGAAACCAAGCAGGGGAAATCAAGGAGAAGGGGGAAAAACGCCATCTGATGCACAGATTCTACCCACCCGTGCCAATCTATCAAACCATAAAACTAAGAACGGTATAAACCAAAATAAAAGACACAAACACAACAGACTAAAAAAGGGGATGTATACAAAGTGTGTGGACTATTGTGATCGATCGACTAGGTACCTAAGAGCCCCGTCCCTACCAGAGTTGAGCGAACCGCGACTTCAGAGACAGCAGGGTCTCGTAGACGGACAACTTTAGCTCGACGCGAAGGAACCCGGTCCAGGCACGGAGGAAGCGGAGGAAATTCCCGATGCGCAGGATCCCGCCTGTCTCGTTGATCGATTCTATTTGTTCCTCGAACACCGTGCGGGTGGCGTAGCGAGCGAGGATCAGGAATGTGCGGACGGGACCCTGTCGGGTGTGAAGGTTTTCGTCCAGGCTGCGGGCTGATGGAAATCGATGTTAGGATATAAGAGTACATACAAAAAAAGAGTTGTGTGAACTTACTGAGGTCGTTGGTCTTGAGAATCAAAAGGATGATCCGGGGAACTTGACCGAGCAATTCGACCAGCTGTTGCAACATGCCCTCGCCGAGGGCACCGGACATGCTGTCACGCTCGGCGTTAGTGCGTTGAGAGACGATGTTCTTCTTCGTAACCTTGGTGTAGTCTCGACCGGTAATGGCGCTAGCAAAGAGCGGGAACTGCTCGTCGGTGATGCCTGCCACCTTGCGCGCATACTCGCGCATGCGCCCTTCGTCCGCGTCGATGACTGCGAGCCACATCTTGGCGTAGTTGCGGCGCAGTTCGCGAGGGATATCGCGGTACAGGCCATGGTCGTAGAGGATGATCTCGAAGCCGTGACGTTGACTGGGGTTCTTTCGGATGGCGATGTTTCCGCCGTGCGGATCACAGTGCAGAGGGGCATTGTCGCCAAAGATCATCTCGTTGAATATATGTGCCAGTGTCGCGGAGACTTCGTCCCGATTGATGTGGTTGGAGTCCAGGTACTCCAGGTCATCAGGTCGATTGCCAGAGATAAATTCCATCACGAGGATCCGTTTCTGAGCCCACATAACTGCATTGGCGTTAGTATAAACCAGGCAAATACGGAGTATAAGAAGGACGGCCTACCATCCGGGATAACCAATGGAGCATCCGAGTGCGCCTTGAAGTACTCGCTCGCTCTCGTAGCGTTGTCCGCCTCCATGCGGAAATCCAATTCCTGAGGCAAAGAGAAATCCATTTCCTTCGACAGCCATTCCAGATCATATTCGGGGAAGAAGCGCTTCAGCATCGAGAACGTGAACCGAGTCAAGGCGAGGTCCAAGGGTACCCATTCCGCCAACGCCGGATGTTGCACTTTCACCGCGACTTTCTGGCCGGTCTCCCTCAGCGTACCGATGTGGACCTGGGCCAGAGACGCAGCGCCGATGGGCTCCGAGTCAAAGGAAGAGAAGAGCTCGTCGATGCGGCGGCCCGTGTCCGCCACAAACATTTGCTCGATGGATTCGATCGACGAAACGGGGCACTTGTCTTGCAGCGGAACAAAGGTCGTCGTCCACTCCAGTGGAAGCAAATAACCCATGCTACTCAGATGCTGTCCCAGCTTGATGAAGATGGAGCCGTTCTTCTCGAGAACTCGCAGGGTTCGTTCGGCGCATCGTTTGTGGCAAGCCCGGATGTTTTCACTCCGTTCTTCGGGCGACGAGCTTTCTTGCTTGAGGGTGACTCGGTAACTGATGGATACGAGCATGTGTGAGCGGACACGGGGCGCCATATAGCAGATCGTAACACCGGCTTCAAAACTTACTCGTTAATACACACCGCTAATGTGCCGACAACCCTCCCCGTTCTCTGCGCGGCGCGGTAGATATGCTGAGCGTCGTCCGAGAACACCACGGCTCCGACGACCAGCGTTCCGCCAATGATCGCATATTTCACAAGCCTCTTCTGTGATCGACCCGAACCTGTGTTTTCCCCGGCATTACCGCCACTATTTCCCAGCAAAGTCGCCGTTTTCGAGGAGAAAGGAGCGCAAGACGTGAAGGGCCCGATCTGCCCGGGGGCGCGGTATCGACATGACTCCCGAAATCCTTGCGCAAATGAGGAAATTGGCTTGCGAATTATCGAAGGGGCTCGCGGTTGTAGCAACGACGGGCTAGAGGGAGGGTGGGTAGAAGTCGAATATCGAAGGGCCGTTGCGGGATCAAAATTAGATGCCCGCAGCGGAGCGCGGAGCGCCGCCCTCATACCGGATCCAGGGCAATGCCGTCCGGAGAGCGACCGGGAACAAAGATTCAAGACAAAAGAAAGAGACTGGTAGCAGAGACGCAGTTAATTGCGGTAGTAACACCAGGCCATGGTTGTCCGCCGAAGTACGGAGGTCAGGAAGAGGGAACTAACGGAGCGGAAAGGGCACGAGAGAATCCCCATCCCGGTTTGCTCCACCACTTGCCGCTTTAAGTCCAGACCGAGGCCGAGCCAAACTCACTCAAATCTTCTAGATCTACTGGTATATCTACGTCTGAAGACACACACATGTACGCGGAGCCAAAGATCTCTTCTCATTCTTAAAGTCAGGCAGATGGATGCCCAGGAAACAAGTCCAAGAACCCCTGCCCCCGTCTTTATATCCAGTACCCAGGAGGATGACCTACAACTATAAACACAACGCCATAGCGCCGTCACCATGCAATATTGACAGCTACAATGTCCAAGTTTCACAAAGAGACAAGAAAATCATATGGAAGTGGAAGACGCAGCAACAAGGAACGTATATCCGTAGCGCCTAGTCTGCGTCGGCTGGCGCCGTACGCCGTCGTCGGGGGATAATTGATGGCCGACGGGACACCGAATTTGATGGTCGAGTATTGTCTTCGGGTAGAAGGTCGACATGGGACATTCGATTGTCGGAAATCCCTCGCGACAGCCGATGTCTCGACGGACCGGAGCTTCCATTCAGTCCCACTGCAAGACCAGGGTTGGCGCCGTCCCTACTCCCAGGCCGGAGTGCCAGTGCCGAGCCGCTGAGGGCGTTCCGCGGGTGTCTTTGGCTTTCTCTTCCCTCGTAGTATGCTTTGGACTGGCTGGACCGGTTGAACTGGGGGGTGGTGGGACTAGACTGGTTGGTGAGCAAGCCCGGTGGCGTGGTGGAGATGCTCATCCGTCTCACACCTGGCTTGCGTTTACCGAGACTGTAAGCCTCGCTCCTCTCGTTAGACTTGATAAGCTTCCCGGCCATGTCTCTTACGAGAATGGCGGGGTCGTGCTCAAGTTCTCCAATTGCGTCCAAAAGGCCGTACTTGGCGAGAAGTCCGCCTTGCTCTTCGCTAGAATCACAAATGCTGGATATGATGCGGAGTAGATTCAGCCTTACGGCAGCTTTGGTGTGGTGCAATTTTTGGTCAATCCGCGTGAACAGATCTGGCCGAGCGAGAGTAGAGGCAATCGGAGGACTCAATCTCAGAAGCTTCTGCAAAGGCTCCAGGAGATTCTCAAATGCGTTGGCTTTTGACAAGGTCAGACACCGGATGATTGCATCGGTGAAAGATAGCTTGTCATTGCAATTCTCTAGTAGATGCTCTTCAACCTTGGCCGTCTCTTCTTGAAGCCTGCTCATGGAAATCAGAATTAGTTACATGCAGACTTGGTTCCAGCGGGTGCATACTAACCAGGTGAATATGGCATCCAATGCCGTGACTTGCCAATACGGGTCGGAAAGTAAGGATATGTAAAACGCGAGACCTTTGTTGCGCCACAGCTCCCGCCGCCCAACTTTGCCTGAATGCGCCATGTCGCAGAGAATGGGCAATGCAAACTCCTTCAGTGGCCGCTCAGTTTTCACGATTTTCTGGAGGAGCGGCACGATACCATTCAAGGCTGCGTCCTCTTGTCGAGACTTATTCAAGCGGCACATATTATAGATCGTATTCAGGATCTGGTTTGACACTTCTCGGAAATGCGGGCGTTTAATGGTAGACCTCAGTAGATCCGTTAACACATCAATTGCATTCGAATTCTGAAGTGAGTCAAGCGTCGTGGACAGCATAGACAAGTTCTTGATAAACTTCAACATGGTGATCTGATGCGCTGGTGTCATGCGCTTCAATTCTTTCAGTACCCCTTTAGAAAGAACTGTCAGTGTAAAGTTCAATCGATATCAGTCCTCAGAGAAGTCTTACTGTGCAGGACCGTTCGCTCGGCGACCATCTCCTTGACATGGTTCTCTGCTTGGGAGAAAATGAAGAAGATATTTGCAATCCGGCCTTCGACGACCTCGGCCAACGCTCCGTCCTCGTCCAGAACCCGACTTAGAACGAGGGATAGAGGATCAAGAACAGAATTTCGCGATAGAATTCGACAGAAGTCATTTTTGGGTGTTGAGCCCTAGAGTGCTTGTTAGCTTCGCGCGCCCCCATTCTTTGCTGGAAGTTCTTACCTGAAGCTCGAAGACACTCCAGATGCCATTCACTCCAATCAGGACAAGATCTCGCTCATCTTCGTAATCATCCTCTAAGAACTCCACCAGCACATTCAATCCTCCTGCACTGACAAACATCTGTAGGGTAAGTGTAGAAGTCTGATACATCTGCTGTACAAATGCCGCGGCTTCGAGCCGAATCTCTCGGGGATATTTCTTCGACGCAAATTCGTTGATGATAGGTATACCTCCCACAAAACAGAGATTCTCCTGTATTTCGTAGTCGTTGAAAATGATCGCATTTACAATCCTCAGAAGGCATAGAATTATGTCTCGACGACGGCACATATCGAGGATCTCAAGAATTGGCAGCATCCCGTGGGCGCTGATGATGATGTTTTTCGTTTCCGGTAGATCACAGAAGACTGTCAGTAGCTGCTCCGAGATCTCCCCGAGAACATCTTCGTCCTGCGAAGTTTTGAGAGAGCTCACAAGCCCCTCGACCTGATTGCGAAGTCGAGCGTGCTTATCACGGGCGATGTTAGCTTCCAGATCCATTTCATCTAGCCCTTCCTCTAGCTGGGCAAAGGGGTCATCCTCATCATCCTGGTCCCCGAGCCAGGAATTGTTGGCCAGCTTCGAGTTCAACATCAACGTGCTTGGGTCTGGGCGTCGATCATTTTCGGATTTATCCAAAGTAACTACACCTGTGCCTAAGATATCGGAGAAATCCTCATCGGTTTCATTCTCCGTGAAACGCTGGATTTCTATTGCTGATCGGTGGCGCTTGACTGAAATCTGTTTTCTAAGCTGGGGCTGCTGATCTCCCCTATCCTTGGACCGGGGTTGATATCGCACTATCTCTTTCGAGGCCATGTCTTCGAACATCGCAGCGTCTTCGTCCACCTCCTATTGGGTGTTAGAAGAAACAAAACTTGGCGATGGTTAGATTAGAGAATATTACTCACCTGAAAAGCGCCCAGCTTACGGTCTAAGACGTCCTCGTTGGCCCTGATCAGATCCGAATAATCTTCGACTGAGTTTTCCTTGTAAAATGACGCTGGGCGTGGCTGCCTCATGGGCGGCACCGGGTTCGGATTTAGGATCGGCACGTTTTGCATAGGCGCGAATGTGCCGTTAGCAAAATTATACGGCGAGCGACTGTGTGGTTGCCCGCCTTCAGTGATAGCTCGTTTCGGCGGTGAAGGGCGGATGGTCTCTAGGTCTTCAGAATCGAATGAGCCCTGGAAGGAGTCCTCAAATTCATCGAAGCTATCCTCTGACCTCAATACCGTCCCATCAAGAGATGCAAACGCCTTGAGCTTCTCTGAGGACAGCATTCCTCCAAAGTTGTCCTGTGGCCGAAGGTGAGGCAATTGCAAAGCGCTGGGAGAAATGGCTGTGGCGAAGTCATCGTCCCAATTGTCCTCTTCCGGAGAGATCGGGGACCGAAATTGATCTGCCACATGAGTAGCAATTGGCGACGGAAGGGAGTCTTTAGTGGGCGTATTTCGAGATGAAGGTAGCCCTCCTGTGTATTGATGATCATTTTTAAATGGCTTCCGGAGGGTTCCTGCACTCGGTGAGCGTAGGGCCTCGTTCCACTCCTGAACACTTTTCACGGCTTCCTCGTATTCCGTCGATTTTTTAGGGACCACTGAATCTGATCGACGTGCATTGACTATCCAGGGATGCTTAAGCAGCTTCCTTGCCGAGACACGAAGGTTAGGGTCCTTCTGGAAGCACTGCATCAAAAAATCCTTGACGGCCTAGTATCCTTGTCAGAGACCGAAACCACCGATCGTCTTCCACGGGTACAGACGAAAGAAAGAAACTCACCGGTGAAGCACCTTGAGGGAGCGGGGGATGATCATCGTTCACAATACGGAAGAGAGCAGGCATGGGTTGGAGGTTATAATAAGGAGGCCTTCCCTCTAGTAACTCAATCACAGTGCAGCCAAGACTCCATATATCCGAGGCTGTTGTTGCACCAGAAAGTTCAATCACCTCAGGAGCCATCCAGTAAGGCGTACCAACAACACTGGACTCGCTGAGCCCAGTGGTACGGCTAGCCACTCCAAAGTCTGCAAGTTTGACTAGGCCCTGTTTTGTCGTGAGGATATTGGCACCCTTGATGTCCCTGTGTATTACACCTTGCTCATGGAGATACAAGAGACCATGAAGCACCTGCGACATGTATAGGCCCACAAGATTCTCCGGGAAACGGCCGAAGTTTTTCGCAATAGAGTGGAGGGAGCCATTCTCGCAATATCTGACGCCATTAGCGATTCAACATCGCATAACCGAGATGGGAAGGCGACATACTCGAGGATTATATTCAAAGTTTCCACTGACTTCACGAATCCTTGGTACTTGACAATGTTCGGATGCTGGAGTAAAGTTTGTCAGCTAATATTCCGGGGGCCATCTCGAAACTTTAGTCAGATGCTAAATCTTACATCCAAATTCTTCAGGAGATCGATCTCCAGCTGCAGCACACAAAATTAGCAGATACCCGGATATAGTGGATGAAAGTTCGGTACCATAATAACCCGCAGCTCACTCTTGGGAAGGTCTACGAGCTTGATTTGCTTGACGGCAACGGTCTCTCCGGTATTCCAGTTGAGGGCTCTATAGACCGACCCGAATGCGCCCTTTCCCAGGCAATCCCCCAGTTGCTTCGGTATGTCAGCGGGCCGAATCTTTGTTTAGAGAGAAACCATGGGTCCAAGTCCATACATAATCCTTAAGTTCCGCAACATCCTTGGCTGATGACTTGATCACCCGGTCGTTCTTTGCTTTATCTTCTTTTTTCGATGGGCTGGTGCCGAGTCTCGCTATTCGTGCTTTGGCGGGGGCATTCGGGGTTTTAGAGGATGGAGGAGGCCCCTCGTTCCCCTCGTTGGCTCGAGAGACCATCGTCGGGCAGGTAGTGAATCGGCTTCCCCCTCGTTTATCGTTGGATCACTTCGACCTATTCGATTTGTCTCGGAATGCAGGGTTTCAGGTGAGGAACGGCAGGTGTGGACAGGCAGGAGCCAGGGGATCGATCGCAATCATTCATGTCAGCCGAGCCTGTTTATTTTGGGTGTGAATTGTCAGTCATCGCGAGAAAGAAAAAAAAAGCACACCAGAAAGCACCAGCAATGATCAGATCCACCGAGGGGGAATTATGGCATGATCACCGCTGGATTCGGGAGGAAAGAAGAAGAAAAAGCAAAAAGCGAAAAGCGAAAGAGCCATACAGAAGGAATTCGTGCTCTCACACCCATAGAGCCGCGTTCGACCAACGCGTCGCTCCTCATTCGAGATTTGTCGCTGCTCGAATCCGGGTGGGACTTGAAATTAGTCGATAAAACCCACCGTTATCGACGGACAAGATGGATCCAACGAGATATGGCACCTGCTGTTTTGGCTGCGGAGGGAACTGTAGCAAATTGAAGAGTGTTTTGAACTTTCCCCTTCTCCACCGGCGGTTTGGCGCATGACGCAGCGACCGGCTTCTGTATCTCCGATCAGCCTTATCGAAAAAAGCCGATCTATTTTAATTTTTTTTTTCCCTTGCCAGTTTCTTTGCTCCCCACTTCATCTTGACTCGAGCGGTCTCATATTTACTATGGAGTAGATACTAAATTAATCTTGGTTCATTGTATATGATTAGTAACCCTTGGAATGCCCATGATTGGGCACCGCAGATGCAGCAACGTCCAGGCCGGATTCTTCCCATAACATTATTACAATTGATAGAAGGTTAAAATGTATATACAAACTATTCCGGTACTGTTGCTACGGCCGCTGCCATGGAGACCACTACTGCATGGCCCATGACGACGTCCTGGCCTCCCGCAGATGCCGGAGGACGTCCGATACAAGGTAAAGACTGCCAGCAATGACCAGCGGACTGCCATTAGCCTCCTTTGCAGCCCAATCAATAGCAGCGACAATGTCCTTCCCATACGACTGGACTTCTCCGATCCCAGGGAACGACTGAACGCAGGTGGCGAGCTCTTCGGGCTCAACTGCCTTGACCCACGGCATCCCGTCAACGGGCCCAAATGCCGTCGTGACGACACGGTCGCCCTCTTTGATAATCGAACCGAACAGCTCGGGTATATCCTTCCCACGAGAAGCTGCAATGACCCAGGTGATGTTCCCTGATTGCGGACGGAGTCTGCGGTCCACATACTGCCTAAGAACTTCGGCGGATTGGGTGTTGTGCGCACCGTCTAGTAGAATGGGTTCTTCCCGAGCAATAAGAGGCGCCAGAGATATACTTTGTAGGCGCCCCGGCCACTCCACGTTCGAAAGATGTGGAAGTAGCGAATCTACCCCGGAGTCGGGGCGTAGCTTCGGTAAGGCAAACTTGAGAGCTGAAACGGCGCAGCACATGTTGGCCTGCTGGTGCGGCAAGAGGTCCAGCTTGGAGAAGAGTTGACCAAGCGACGGAGAGTGTTCATTTGGGGTTTCCGGGTGAGTGTAAGTTGCGTCGATATTGAGTTCCTTGATACGGTCTTGGAGAGTGGTAATCACCGCCGGAGAATTGGTGCCGTCCACCACGCATGGAACTCCACGCTTCAAGATGCCGGCCTTCTCTCGGGTAATTTCTTCGATCGTGTTTCCAAGCAGGTTCTGATGATCCAGCCCTATCTTCGCGATCACCGACACGAGAACATCTTTTAGGATATTGGTCGAATCCAACCGTCCGCCCATGCCAACTTCCACTACCCCGACCTCAACCTGTTCATGGTGAAAGATTTCAAAGGCCGTCGCAGTTAGCAATTCAAACTCGCTGGCTCCAATACCCAGGGTCTGATCCCGCAGTTTGACCTGGGCCTCGATCTGGCGGAAGAGCGATTCTTGGACGACTCTTTCACCGATTGTGATGCAATCCCATCGGTCGACTAGGTGCGGGGATGTAAATCGGCCACAGCGAACACCCCCGGAAGTTAACAGATGCGATAGATAGGCGCTGATGGACCCTTTGCCATTTGTTCCCGCAATATGAATGGCCTGCCAGTTCAACGACGTCTGCTGGACAAGACGGGAAATGCGACTCAGGCCGAGCTCAATCATCCCTCCAAGTATGTGATTCTCGATGACAAGATGGGAGGTGGTTATGTCATAACCCGGGGTAGGGTGATTTGGGTATTATAGAAAATCGACCAAGGCGCTGGTCAGTGATTGGATGAGAGCACGAAGAGCTAGGGAGGATTCAATAATAGAGGCAGGTAATTACCGCAAACCCTTATAAGTCCGGTCACAAGCGACGCTGCCCTTTTCCCGACGAAAACTCCGCCGATCCTGGGAGTTTCCCGAAGGCGCTGCCGATAAAGGCGATACGCGATAAGGCCGTGACTCGTGCATGCCTCAGGCGGCTAAAACTTGGCGTTATGCCTATTCGGGACGGGTGGTTTTTCGTGGACGGCGTTTAACAGAACGAACTAGACAGGCTGTGTGACTTAAAGAGTCGCTTCGTCTCCTCTTGGAGAAAAGGAATCCGTCATCGGATTCCGTTCAGGTGTCGCCTTCATCTCTAGATCTATCTCGACTCTCGAGTCCTCTCATACTTATACTTCATCTGTGTTCACTTCATACACTGTAGCGGCTGTGCTGAGTTGTACGCGGAGCCACCTCCCGTTGCGCCACATCTCCCAGCCTTCGCTCTTCCCTTCTGGGCGTGACCGCGCGATCGGGGGAACGCCTCAGGCGCAAATCTCTTTGCCTCCGCTTTTTACCCTTAGGAGGAAAACCAAATCTTGCCGCTGCTCCATCAACAGAATCCATCTTGTCGCCTCTCCCCCCGCAACCTCCTCTCCTCTATTTCGCGTCACTTTTAGCGTGACTCGGCCTTGGTGTCTTTCTTCTGATCGGATTTCGTTCCTTTCCCACCCCAAAGTGGTTGATCCACACAATTCCTTTGTAGTTATGGGTATACCGTGAGTATTGGACTTTTTGCTCTTACCATTTTATTTGGGGATTTGCTGTTGGGGACTTACGCGCGAGGTGTTGTGCTGCCGACGTCGCTCTTCTAGCGCACAGGGCCATCATAATGACTGACTTTCTATAGAATGTTCCGCGAGCCCTCCTCTACCGAGGCTGCCAAAAACAATCCTATCAAAGACCCCTGTGCCGCTGCGCGCTCGGCAATCCGTCGCCAGGCCACCGTTCGGCGTCCTTCGCGTTACAGTAGCTCCTCCGCTTTACGCAGCGCAACCCTGCGCCCTCCCTTCCCTCGCCCCTTTGTGGATGAGATCGAACGAGAAACAAACGGACTCCAGCGCCATGTGCGCTCTCTCGCTCCGAACTCGGGCTCCGGCGACGACCCGTTTGACCTGACCAGCGGTCTCACGGATTCCAGCGCTCGGGAGGCTGGCCAGCGGCTGCTGAACGATGTCCTCCGACATAGCCGTCCTGGTCAGCGGCTGAGGATTCCGCGTAACACGACTGTCTCTGATTTGTACCGTCGCTCATCCCCTGGCGACGATGTGACAAATCGACAGGATCAAGAGTCACCCTCATTTACGCCACGTTTCACCCCTGCAGTTGTACACCATCGAACTAGTTCCCCTCAATTGCGCCCGGATGCCGTGCGTTTGTCCCCCTTTCCCCGACCCGAGAGCCTAGGCGGGGATGTTGCATCAAATATTCCGCTGTTGCGCCGAGTCGGCCAACGATCCATCAACGAGGCAAACCGCGCAAGCCGCGAGTCGGTTGTTGATGGTCTTGGAGATCGCCAAAGGAGCATGAGCCCTGACGATGACCATGCCAACGATGCGTGGGAGACGCTTTTGACGACCATCACTCCCGATACCACACTTCCCAGCGCGAGTTCCTCCTTCACCTCGGCAACGGCTGCCGGAACGAACGCCTCGAGGAACGGGACCTCCAGAAGCTCGACCACGTTCGGCACCCTTCCAAGCTCGTTGGACTCGAACCCGGGAACTGTGCAGATGGTCCTTGATCCCTACCCAGAATTTCTCAATCCGTGCGATTACTCCAGTTCCTCCGATTCGGAATTAGAGTCTGACGAAGAGATCAACCAAAATTCTCTATTCCGACGATACCGGCGACGGATGCGCCAGATCGACATGATGAGACGATCGCACAACATTCAACAACAGTCAACCATGGGCAACCATCCTCCTATTCCTACAATCTCTCTCGCTTTTCCCGATACCTCCGCCGACCCCGATCTTCATCAGATGCAGGCCATACTGGATCGACTCGCTCGCCGGGAGGATATCCCCGACGACTGGTGGGCGGCGGCTGGGCTGTCTCGGACCATTGGTCAAAGGGCTGGTTCCAACGATGAGTCCACCACCGATGGTGCAGACGGACCATTGAGACAACCGTAAAAGAAAACTTCACATAATTTATGATTCTGTGTCAAATATTGAGCTTTTTTGAGAATTCTTCTTATTTTCTTTACCCGATCTCGGGGTGTGGGGGGTGGACTGGGATATCACATTTCGGCGTTCTCGGGTTCTTTTGAAGCGGTGACTTGCAGTTTACAGCAGTGGGCGAGAAGGCACTCGGCAATAAAGAGGGTTAACTTTCATATTGATCAGTTTCCCTGTATGTATTTTTGTGGTATTTGTTACAGATCAACAATCGATAACAACATGCTTACCAAGTTTGCAAGGAACTCGTCAATGGGCGAAGATCAGATCCTGTTAAACCGTTAAACCATTGCTTTGTAGTTTTCAAGACTCTGATATCACTTTCATAGAAGACATGTCAAGGCATCAGAAGTGTGACAATCATATTCATGGAAATCAAAAGACAGAGGACAGGACCAAGGTTCTCGATATTATATTCATGAGCACTTGATTCATCGAGCACTTCGTAATATTGATGCAATACGTAAAAGGGGGGCTCCCAGGAACTCCTGTCTTTGTACTCCGTACTCCATAAGAGCGGCTCGGAGTGGAATAAAATATTTATTTGGCCGAGGGAGACCGGATCAACTGAAGCTCCCCTGTGACGTAGCGGCAAGCAAGCCTTGGTCCGCGCTATGATGCTACAGATCGCAAAACCCCACTCCGATGACAAGCCCCGCCGCTCGCCTTTATTTATGTCAATAGGCCGCGGAGCTTTCTCGCCCCATTAACCTATTCTAACATATTTCTTCGATCGTCTTGCGGAAAAGGGTGGCTTTGACTACTGGGGCTCGGTTGTCTATATTCTATAGTCGTTTCATTGCCTGTACGTCCGCCGGAACGCGACCCTCACTATAGCCGATCACGCGAACAGCAACGCGGGGTTCCCACCGTTTAACCCCATATTCTCCGGTCGTTTACCACCGTTTGGACTGCTTCAGCTACTGCCGAGCACATTGGTACCTTAAAAAGAATGGATTCCCAAGTAGACAGGCTCGTGGATAAGATATGGGGTAAGTAAAAGGTCTCAGCCTTGTGCAACTCCCACCGTTGGCGCATCCAACCCATTCGCCCGGCCCCCTCGGGGCCTCCCTAGTAGCAAATCCTGCAGCCAGGCCAAGACATATACTAACAGGCCTCTTCAAGGTAAATTTCAATCTACGCCGTCTGATGCACGTTTGATGATCGGAGTGAGTGGGATCCCGGGGTCCGGGAAGACAGAGTTGTCCAGCACGATGGCCAATCGCATCAACAAACTCTATAGCACACAACATCCAGACTCACCACCGGTGGCGACAGTCGTCCCAATGGATGGATATCATTACACGCGAGCCCAGTTGGCCCAGATGCCCGACCCGGAGTACGCCGTCGCTCGGCGCGGCGCGGCCTTCACGTTTGACGGGGAGAAGTTTCTGAAACTCGTGCAAGCCCTGCGGGATCCATTGACGCCGGAGTCGCAAAGTCTCTACGCCCCCAGTTTCGATCATGCGGTCAAGGACCCGGTGGATGGAGATATTGCCATTCCGGCCAGTCGCAGAGTCATCTTCTTCGAAGGGAATTACCTCAGTCTGAATAAAGAGCCGTGGAACCGGGCTGCGCAGTTGATGGATGAGCTCTGGCTGGTCGAGGTCGACTTCGAAGTCGCTCGGAAGAGGCTGGTCTCAAGACACGTCAAGGCGGGGATTGCACAGAACGAGACTGAGGCTGACAAGCGCGTGACGGAGAATGATCTCGTAAATGGCAAAGAGATCATCGAGGAGCGATTGGAGGTGCAAGAGATCATCTCAAGTAATTATGACTCCGGGTGGGACCAGTAAAAGGGGCGCTATGATATGGAATTGATGACAACGACAACGAATGGAAAGAGATCATGAAGATACAGCTATACTCTTTTTTTTTTTTTTTTTGCGTTTGCAGTTCAGGAAAATTTGCATGTTCCCATACATTTGATAAGAGAACAGTTAGAGAGATTTCCAGAATTTATAGAAGTCTACAAGAGTGCTCTATTGGTGCTGGATATCGTGGCGGCATCTTGTTTAATCAATTCAAAGAATCTTATAGGACAGTACCCCCACCATTTTATAGTGACCTACCTACTTTTTGGAATTTAATGGAATGCTCAACGGCCGAGAATCCGCCCCATTCTAGCGGATGAGAGCAAGGCACACAATAACCGGCAGCTCTAGATGGGTTTAGCATGATTAGGATCATCGGGTCATTCCGATTGCTACAAAACAGGTAACGACGTAAGGTCGGCACCTAGCACCTTACTTACTTCCAGGCAAGGGCCTCCAACTTCCCGGCGCTGAGCGTTCAGGAGCATCAAGCAAATTTGATATTACCTTACACGAGTGATACCGCGCGTGTTACGCTGCAAAAAATCAAACACCCGGGGTTCCCCACTGGAGGAGTCCGCGCTGGCCAAGCAGAGTGGCCACCAGGCGCTGCTCGGGGCAGTTGGACCCGCCAGGAGAAATCCAAGCCGTACGGTAATTCTGTCACGAACGTGAAAGAGTGCCGCCGGTGGTGGTAAGGCCGAGGGATCGGCAGGGTCGTCGCCCTCTTGGGTCACTCCTCCGCTGGGGACTCTTCATCTTTCCATCTCCCACTTCCATTCTTCAGCGTTTCAAATGGTTGTGCTTGCCCGTTGATCGTTGCTTGTCGCTCTTTCTGACCAAACAGTCTCTCTTTCATACTCTACCCACGCTCTTTGTATTCACTTCAAATCGCTATAGTCGCTCTTTTATTAACCCCTCTCCGGTTATTTCGATTGCGATCCCCGCCGCGGACTTGAACCATTCAGCCCCCTAATCGCGTATTACCCGAAGCCTCCACGGTCAAATTACTCCGACACCATCATGTTGTTCGCAAAGTCCGCCTTCCTTTTGTCCTTGTTTGCTCTCAGCAACATCGCCGTTGCTGCCGATTCCTCCGCCTGCCTCCTTTCGGCCCTAGGGTATGCTAGAGTAGCTCCGCTTCGTGGAATGAAACGCTGAAACACCGGTCATCTGCTGACAGTTTCAACCAACAGCTCTGAGAAGAGTCCCGGTGACTTGAAGGCCGTCTGCGTCGACAGAGTGCAGAAGAAGATCGCGAATGCCTGCAGTGGTGATGATAAGGAGGATGCTCTGAAGCAATTCGCCGACACTTGCTCTTCCGCGGGCCACAAAGTTGGTGAGTTCTATTTGGTCGACGTCCGTCGCATTGAAAAAATACTAACAAGTCTTGCGACTCAGCCATCAACTCCTCGTCATCTTCCGCAGACTCCTCCACCGGAACTGCTACCGGAACTTCGACTGGCAGCTCCAAGTCCACGAAGACCGCGTCGACCGGAACTGGGTTTGTGACTGCGTCTGCGACGAGCACTTCCGGCTCTGGCTCCGGCTCTGGCTCGGGATCTAGCTCCATCGCTGAGTCCAGCCCCAGCTCGACTTCTGAAGAAACTCCTCTTCAGACCAACTCGGCTGGCTCGTCCGATAAACATGTTTCTGCTGCTGCGTTTGCAGCTGTGGTTTTCGTCGGATTCGCCGCCACACTGTAATGACCGAAGTCGCTTTTATTTGACCCAACTGCCATTCAATATCCCGACATTTATACCATGTAACATTCATTCAATTCGTGTTTCATTTCTTAGTCAATTTCCTATTCATGGGAACACATTAGCCAAGGAAGAGTGCAATGTACAATTTGCGAAGATATTATGACCCAATAACCTCTGTTTGTTTCATGAGCTACTCATATTATGTGGTATAGTAGCAATAACGGTAGATGTTTCTGTGGCTCATAGTCTGTAAAGTCGGTCAAATAATTTCCTAGGATTCATTTGATCAATTTTTCGGAGGACTTTGGAGTACAAGACCCGCTTTCACCGATCAAAGTTCCGCAAGGAAGCCATGAGGAGTAAGGCATGTTCGGCATCGAGTCAGCTCCGGTAGATCTATACTTGGACGAGATCGGGTCGGCCGCGTTCTTGTGGCGTGAGGAGCGAGGAGCGTCGGCACGTGACCCGCGCTCACCGCGTGTTTCCGGCGCCGGCGGAGCAGGAAGGCCTTAGGCTGCGCAAGGGAAGCCCATTTGGGCCAAACACGAAAATTCGCGTTGATAATCCACCGGCAACGCGTTTGCCCCGGCGACATCAAATATCTACCACGGCTTCTGCCCCTCTGTCTTCTTTTCTCTCTCTTTCCATCCCTCTCCTCTCCTCCCATCCTAACGTCTCACCCCATCTTTCAACGACTTTTCTCTTTCTCATACCCCTTGCAGAGCTTTACTACTTTTTTATTCTAGTAATACTATTCCTATCTTTTCTTTTCTTTTCTAATTTCTGTTCCCGCATACCTCGACTTCCTGCCACCCGTGAAAATGTTTGTCTACAAGAGAGGTAAGCAATCTTGATCATCACTGCCCCTCGAGGAATGAAAGAGGGGAAACACTCGGCCTGGGTTACCGCGGCCATAGTTTCCTCATCGTCGTTGCCACTTGCTTGAGAAAAGTTTTTTGCTAACTCAACCGCCATGACCAGACGGACGCAAGGAACGCGTACAGTTCGACAAGATCACTGCTCGTGTATCGAGACTGTGTTATAGCCTCGATCCTGAGCATGTCGATGCTGCTGCTATCACTCAGAAGGTTATCTCTGGTGTCTACCAGGGTGTCACCACCGTCGAGCTGGACAACTTGGTATGGTTCCCGGATAATACTGGTGCTGTAGGGATGCGTGCTAATGCCATTTCTTCAGGCTGCTGAGACTGCCGCTTACATGACCGTTACGCACCCCGACTATGCCATCCTCGCTGCACGTATTGCCGTGTCAAACCTCCACAAGCAGACTAAGAAGCAATTCTCGCTAGTCATCTCCGACCTCTACCACTATGTAAACCCGAAAAATAAAAAGCCAGCACCCATGATATCTAAGGAAACATACGAGACGATTATGAAGCATGCTGATGAACTTAACTCGGCTATTGTGTATGACCGGGATTTCAACTACAACTTCTTTGGCTTCAAGACCCTCGAGCGGTCGTACTTGCTGCGGGTGGATGGAAAGGTTGCCGAGCGTCCTCAGCATCTGCTGATGCGTGTGGCTGTCGGTATTCATGGAGAGGATATTGAGCGGGCTATCGAGACCTATCACTTGATGTCCCAGAAGTACTTCACTCATGCTTCCCCTACCCTGTTCAATGCCGGTACCCCTCAACCCCAGCTTGCTTCGTGCTTCCTGGTCGATATGAAGGAAGACAGCATTGATGGTATCTATGATACCCTGAAGACCTGTGCCATGATTTCCAAGACCGCTGGTGGTATCGGTCTGAATGTTCACCGGATCCGTGCCACCGGATCCTACATTGGCGGAACCAACGGTTCTTCCAATGGTATCGTTCCCATGCTCCGTGTGTTCAACAACACTGCCCGGTATGTTGACCAGGGTGGTAACAAGCGCCCCGGCGCTTTCGCCATCTACCTGGAGCCCTGGCACGCGGATGTCTTCGAGTTCTTGGATCTCCGTAAGAACCACGGTAAGGAGGAAGTGAGAGCCCGTGACCTGTTCTATGCCCTCTGGACTCCGGACCTGTTCATGAAGCGGGTCGAGGCCAACGGTGACTGGACTCTTTTCTGCCCCAACGAGGCTCCTGGACTGGCCGATGTTTACGGTGACGAGTTCGATGCTCTTTACGAACAGTAAGTTTTCTCTTTGTTTGTTTGAGAGGTCATGTGCCATGTCGGGTTGACTAACAATGAGATGCAGGTACGAGAAGGAGGGCCGAGGCCGTCGCACAATCAAGGCCCAGAAGCTTTGGTATGCTATTCTCGAGTCTCAAACCGAGACCGGAAACCCCTTCATGCTGTACAAGGATGCTTGCAACAAGAAGAGCAACCAGAAGAACCTGGGAACTATTCGTAGCTCCAACCTGTGCACTGAGATCGTTGAGTACACTGCTCCCGATGAGGTCGCTGTCTGCAACTTGGCTTCTCTTGCCCTCCCTACCTTTGTTGACGCTGTTCGTGGCGAGTACGACTTTGGCAAGCTTCACGAGGTTGTGCAGGTTCTGGTTCGCAACCTGAACAAGATCATCGACATCAACTACTACCCTGTCCCTGAGGCCAAGAAGAGTAACTTCCGTCACCGTCCTATTGCTCTCGGTGTTAACGGTCTGGCCGATGCCTTCCTTGCCCTGCGTTTGCCTTTCGACTCGGCTGAGGCGAGACAGCTGAACATTCAGATCTTCGAGACCATCTACCACGGAGCTTTGACTGCTTCCTCGGACCTTGCCAAGCAGCATGGTGCCTACGAGTCGTACGAGGGCTCTCCTGTGTCTCAGGGTATCCTCCAGTACGACATGTGGGATCGCACTCCCACTGACCTCTGGGACTGGGATGCTCTCAAGGCCAAGATTGCGCAGACCGGTGTGCGTAACAGCTTGCTGGTGGCGCCCATGCCCACGGCCAGTACCAGTCAGATCCTGGGCTTCAACGAGTGCTTCGAGCCCTACACGTCGAACATCTACTCGCGTCGTGTTCTGGCGGGTGAGTTCCAGGTTGTCAACCCCTGGTTGCTCAAGGACCTGGTCGACCTGGGTCTCTGGTCAGACAACATGAAGAACCGTATCATTGCGGATGGTGGATCAGTCCAGAACGTTCCCAACATTCCCGCCGACATCAAGGCTCTCTACAAGACCGTTTGGGAGATTTCCCAGCGGGGTATCCTGCAGATGGCGGCCGATCGGGGTGCTTACATCGATCAGTCCCAGTCGCTCAACATCCACCTGAAGGAGCCCACCATGGGCAAGATCACCAGCATGCACTTTGCGGGCTGGAAGATGGGCCTGAAGACCGGCATGTACTACCTGCGTACCATGGCCGCCTCTGCCCCCATCCAGTTCACCGTGGACCAGGAGCAGCTCAAGGTTGCTGACACCAACATCGCTCGGGCCGGCGCCTCGCTCAAGAAGCGGACTGGCGGCGCTGCGTCCAACACGTACTCGGCGATTCCCCGCTCCTCCGCGGGCGAAGTCAACGGGCACAGCGAAGACGCCACCCTTGAAGACCAGGGTAGCCCCCGGACCATCGCCGCCGATGCCGCAACCCCTCGCGAGGAGGAGGTTGAGAACCGCACTGCCCAGGATGAGGACAGTGCCAAGAAGAGCGAGGAGCGGGAGAACGACATTTACTCACAGCAGGTGCTCCAGTGTAGCATTGAGAACAAGGAAGCCTGCGTCATGTGCCAGGGCTAGAAGAACTTTACGGGATCAATATGGATGGGTGGCGTCTGGGACGTTTTTCATTTCTGCTAACTTTTTGCATGTAATTATATCATGAGTTTGATGGATATCAGGTTTTCTTTTTTGTTGTTCATTTCTTTTGTTCTATTTTTTTCTCTTCTCTATTTCACTTTTCTTTTTCATGTCGACTTAAAGGCCTTGCTGTGATTTATCCGAAATTTCTGTACCTAAAAAAAGACCTCATCCGGGCAAGGCTTGGGATGGCTGATTTCATGTCTGATGGATTTTATGGCGATAGTGACTTATACCTTAGATAGATTGACTTGTCGAATGGCAGTTGTTTTCCGAGATGCGTTGTTCAAAGTGGAGTACAGTACAGGAAGTCAGCGCCCAGCATGTCACGTCAGACTCGGATCGTAGATGATTATTGACGGTGCTGCGGTGCATCTAATTCTACACAGTACTCCGGACAGTCTACAGGAAGAACGAGAACAAAAAATGTCCGTGGATTTCCGGTCGGGCTCGGACCACCTGGATGAGGTCATCGTACGGCGAAGCCGATTAGATTAATAATGGATAGAAAGAAAGAATTGTAAATCTCGAGATTCATCGGGCTGCGTGAATTAAATCTCTACTCCGAGTAGGGCTCAGAAGCCCCGCCTTGGACAGGTCCAGCCAGGCAACCCCTCCCCAACGCTGAACGATGATTGATGCAGTACCTGAGTGAGTCAGGTCCATGCAGGTCGTGTTCGCCGACCCCTCAGAGCATCTTCAGCAATTGGCAGGTCCAGAGTGGCGTTGTACGCGCTCTTGAGCCACCCAGCCCAATCCGAGGGTTTTACGATCGAGACCCATCGAGTGGCCAACAGACTAGCAGGGCTCAGGAGGAGATTTTGCTCCAGACCATCTTGCGCCCACCGGGTCCGGTCTGGACCTGAATTCATTGTACCGGGATCTCGCGCCATCCGACCGGGGACGCTAACGTTGGGAGCGAGCCCAGAGAAGGGTTGTTTGACTTGTTTCACGGAGGCCTCTTTGCAGGGTTCGTGTTGTCAGTCAGGTCGCACAAGGCGGGAATTGCGGTCATTGTATGGATTAATCGAATTGGAAAGGTTTGGAGGTGCGCCTCGGAAGTCCTGTCCCTGTCTAAGCCTTCGGCTTCTGAGCCTTCTGGCTGTGTTGTGCGTGTCTTAGACCGGTCTGCTAGTCTGAGTCTAGTGCCCAGTCAGTCTTATGTAGTCCTTTCGTTTTCATCCTCTTCTTTTGTGCGTATGTCTCGGTGGCCGCAAGTGGATCCATGCCCACCCCCTCTTGGTCTTTCTTTCTTTCGCGCGGTGCTTTCTGTGGTTTGAATTTTTCTTCCATTCTTTCAACTCGGACTGGAGCTGACGCGAGTCGAGTCAACTAGAAACGGTTAAAGCTAAAGGCACTAGACTCAGACCAAGAGGCTAACAGCCGAACTAGATAGCGTGGCGTAGACATCCGAAATCAATAACGATGATCCCCCTGGACCCGACCAGCAGAAGGCAGACCTTTTAACCAAGGACCAAGCCTGGGCTAACGAGGTTAGTGGAAGGTTAACAAGGCCCAAATGCCCTGGAAAGGGAATAGACACGACACGCTGTAACGCCGGCGTTGGGTGGAGGCTGCCAATCGGACGATCGGCGCAAGGAAAAATAGGAAAAACGAACAGGATCAAAATTGAAAATTAAAAAAGGAGCCGTTTAGATGACGGAAAAAGCAAGAAGAAAAAGGAAAAGAAAAAAGCGGGTACCTGAATTTGATGATGGAATAAAGGTTACCCAGGATGGCGGCACAGTCAGTTTCGGAGGGAATGGGATTGGATTGATTGATGAAAATGAAATGAAATGAAATGGGCTGAGATGAAGGAAATGAAGGAGAGGAAGATGAGAGTCAACCACGTCAGGGAGGGGAACAGGGCCAGTCACAAAGAGGTGCCTGACCGGAATCCATGGAATGGAATGCTCGCAAAAACAATAATGAAAAATCGGGTTCACGAGCTGGACTCGGTGGGTCCGGGGCTTTTTTTCCTTTGCTTCCAGTCTCCACCGCGTGTTCATTGGAGTTCCTGAAGGGCCTGTCTAGAGTAGGTACCTTCGCTTGTCTCTTCCCCGGTGCAGGTCGATAAATACCTTACCTCCGCTCTTTCCTCCTGTCCCTTTCTTTTCCTTCCATCACCACGTTCTCTCTCTCCCACTTTCCTTCAATTGGTATCTTAGACAGTTCTATCTGTCGTTCCTTCCTTCTTATCCATCTACTGCTGTGCAGTCTGTCGGATTGATCGCCCTCCTTTGTCGATTCAACCCGGACATTCCTTGCTGATTGATACCGAATTCTCTCTCTATACACCTCCATTCAATTCAACAACTCAACTACAATGGCTCCGCTTGCCAAATCCCTGGCCCTTGCCGGCTCTCTCCTGGCAGCCTTCGGCTCTGCCGCTCCTTTGAACAAGCGCGACAACGGCAACAACGTTCATGTCGTCTATGAGACCGCCACCACTGTCGTCTGGACCACCGTGGATCTCACCACCACTATCTATGCCAACATTCCCGCTCCCACCGCGGCTGCTCAGACCACCGTCGTCTCCGTCCCTCAGGCCGCTCCCACTGTCCAGGCCCCGGAGCCCGAGCCCGAGACCACCAGCGAGGAAGCTCAACCCACTCAGCCTCAGCCCACGACCACCCAGGTCGAACAGCCTGAGCCTACTCAGCCTGCCGTGACTTCTGTGGCTCAGCCTACTTACACCCCGGAGCCCCAGCCTGAACCCCAGCAGCCCACCACCACCGCCGTTGCCCAACAACCCACCACTACTGCCGCCGCTCAGCCTGCTCCCACCACTGGTGGCAGCAGCAGCAGTGGAAGCAGCGGCAGCAGCAGTAGTGGCGGATCTTGGAGCACGGGTGATTTGACCTTCTACGACACTGCTACCTCCTCCACTAGCCCCAGCAGCTGCGGCTGGACCAACGACGGCTTGACCGAAAACGTTGTCGCGTTGTCCCACGAGGTCATGCAAGACAGCGACTGCGGCCGCATGATCACTATCGAGTACAACGGCAAGACCACAACCGCAAAGGTCGTTGACAAGTGTATGGGCTGCAACGCCGGCTCCGTTGATCTGTCTCGTGCTGCCTTCGACGCCGTGGCCTCCGCAGTCGATGGTCGCGTGCAGGGCAAGTGGAAGTTCAATTAAGCGTTGATCGCTGAAAGCGTGTTCTCTTCTTCTTGACCTTCTTCTTATACCCTCTTGTTTTCTCTTCTTCATACCAAACTTTTTTTTTTCTTCATATTCTTGTCACTCTTTTATGACTTATTTTCACACGTTGACGAACTCCAACGGAGCATCTGACTTTTGTTTCTTCTTCATGTGGATAAAGCTCTTCACATTTTTTTTTCGGGGTATTTAAACCAATTCTTTTTTCATTCGCTTTTCGAGAAACAAGTTTAGGGGACACGCGGAACGCCTTCCGAAACGACGCTACGATAGATATATGCTGAAGTCGATAGAATCGGGAATTCTATCTGGGAGACTGAGCCACGATGAACAATGAAAAGTTTTGAGATTACGTAGATCGATCTTGATTCAATTGCGTTTTGTCCAAACCTGAGATTCTTGGCTCTAGATATTTTGACAATATTGACAATATCATCTGCTTTATTCACTTTGACTGGCTATGTTTGTCTCGTACTTGCTTCTACTATGTATGTACCTCATAACTCTGTCAATCTTCCCTACTCCGTATAGATAGACGGTGGCCAATGCACGTATGACAATTGACCACTCAGGTAGGTACGTCACTCCAACCCGGCCCTCTCCCGAATCAACCTCTCCACGCCAGGCCTTCTCAACATCTCCCCCAACACCCTTCCCAAACCATCATCATCACAACCCGGCCTATTCACCTTCCCATCCCCCTGCTCATCCATCTGCAAACTCTCCCTCTTCGCCAAGTCATCCATCCCCAACTTCCCAATCCGACAATTAAACCGTGCATCCCCGCCCCGCAACGCACAGATCTCCGTCCGCGCACACGCCCCCGTGCACTCACTCACGTTGTACCCGCGCGTCGTCCTCTCCCAGAATCCTCGGAACACGGCCTCGTCGCGCTCCATCGCCTCCGTGACGTTGTGCCAGAATGACGGCGTCAGTTCCGTCGTGGCGGATGTCACCGGGGGCGAGAGTACCGCGCCGTAGGTTTCCTTTGCCGAGTAGTACTTCCTCCACTGGATTTGGGGTGATGGTGCTGGCAGAGAGGAGTGAGCGGCTGACTCGTGGGTGGAGTTGTAGGTGGGCAGATCGGCGATGTAGACGGTATAGTCGAGCACGGCGAATGTCACGGGGTCGATATCGTAGATACGGAACGCAGGCGGGCCGGACGTCGGCGTTAGGGACGGCGCGATGTATCCGATGGCCGAGGCCGAGTGGGCGGTGCGTTTGCCGGAGGCGTAGTCGCGGTAGGAGACCTGGAAGAGGTCGGTGTGGGTGTGGCCATAAAACAGCGCGGCGATGGTGTCGGCGTAGCGGTTCACAACCCGGTCGAACGCCGCGGAGTAGTCGTGTAGTGTGTCCGGTCCGCCTGGGGGAATGTGCGCCACAAGCCAGACGCGCTGCCCGGCGGACTCGGCGGCCGTCAGCTCGTCGATCAGCCAGGCTAAGAGGCCGTCGGGGTCGGCTGGCATCGGGTCCGTGTAGGCGTAGAAGTTGTACTTGTAGTAGAGAACGCTGTTGTAGGAGATGATGCGCAGGGGGGTGGCGTCGCTGTTGTTTTCGTCGCCGTGGAGGATGGAATAGGAGCCTTCAGGGTTCTTCGTCGGGGTAATGAAGTTGGCGCCCATGAGCGCTGTCCAGTCGTCCGACAGGGCGTCGTAGGCCCATTGAGGTCGGTGCGAGGCCGGGATGCCGGTGTCCGAGGCAGGGAAGAGGTTCAGCGGCGCGGCATCGTGATTGCCCAACGCAGCGTAGACGAGGCCTAGTTCGCCCAGTCGGTCGTAGGTGGAGTTGAAGTCGCGCAGCACAGAGGATTGGTTGACCATCCAGATGTCGTGGGCCGGCACGTCGCCCGTGTAGAGCGTGAAGGCTGGATCCAGCGCCGCGACGGCCGCCATCATGCTGGCCTCCAGCTGCACGGGCGAGTCGCCGTGCGGGTCGCCGAGGGGACCGCAGGGCGCGGCGTTGTGACCGGGGGCGTCGCCGTCGGTCCAGGACCGACAGCAGAGCGGTTTGGAGCAGAAGGCGTTGGCTCCCGGTTGGTAGGCATGGTCGACGTGTGTGTCGCTGATGTGGGCGACGCGGATGGGCGACTGGCCGCTGGGAGGAGGCCGAGTGGCCGTGGAGGGCGCCGGCGGCAGTTTGAGGTGGTCGGGTTGCACGGGGGGATAGTCGCAGAGGCCAACAACGTGCGCGCAGAAGGTCTTGGAGGTGTGCGAGCCGACGTGCAGCTCCTTGAGCACGTAGTACACGGCCGGACCTTGCGCGGCGATGAGACCTTTACAAACGTCGACATCTTCGACCTGAGACGACAGTCAGCATATATGACATGCAGCGATCAGATCAGATCAGATCAGACGCGATCGCATCCCCTGGAGATCGACCCGACAGAAAGGACAAGAATGCAAAACATACGCCACTGATAATGCACACGTCCGTGACAACCCGGATCAATGCCTCCTGGCCCAGGTTGGCCACCAGTTTGAGAGTGCCCAAAAGACCCTCGCAGCTGGCACAAGTGACGGCTTCTTTGACATCGTCCCAGATAGATTTGGCCCAGTCGGACTCGGACTTGGCCTGGACGCCAGTCGACGCCAGAGCAGCCAGCAAAAAGGCGGGTCTCATTTCCAGATCAGTCTGTTCCAAGCGACGAGTCTCAATTCTTCATCGCATTCCATTTCAAAGCATCCCTCGAGCCCGCCATCTTGCTAACTTTATATAGCCCGACCGATAGGTTCATCGCAAGCGAGTTCATAGTCATAGTTTCGCTTCCCCTCCGTTCAGATCCGTCGGCATCCGATTCCAACCCTGGGAAGCAGAGGAAACCGTTACGTTTGGGAATAGGAAGACGAACACCTCGGCGCCCATGTGATGGACGATGGGTTGCATCGTGGATTGTCTTCTCCGCAATCAAAGTTCACTGAAGTCGAAGATCGCAGAATTAGCGCGCTGCAGGTCTGCGAGGGACCGAAGGGTCCAACGCCGTGCGGACTGGACCCATTTCTCCCATCCCTGACTGATCACGGGGGCGTTGTCGATCTTGTCGAGTGGCTTGACAGAAGATGCGAGGGAGGAAAATTATTGGTTTCCCCAGGATTTGCGGATTTAGGGGCTGTTTGTTTATGTTGGATGGTCGGGGAGTGAGAAGACGCAGGCCGGCAATTGGATTCTCAACCCTTTGAAGGAATAGCATCAATTCACGACACGGGGTCAGGTCGAATCCGGGGGAGTCCCACAGACAATGGGATTATGTCGACCGAGTGTGTCTTAGATCAGATCGGAGAATTCACGACCAAATGGAGAGCGCCAGAGGAGGTCGCATCTTAGACCGCAACCGCCGCTGCAGGCCCTTTCGATAGTCTGGATGCATCATACCTGGCAATATCAGGCCCAATATTCAATATTTCCATGTTCAATATTCCAGATTCCACCCTGCGGATCGACCCCGTATGTTAAATAATAATCAGGATGAGTCTGTAAGGATAACATCATCCGGCCAGGAACCGACCCAGAGAGAAGTCCCTTGACCCACCGCCACACAATCCTTTCCCTTTCCCTTTCTTTCCTTCTCCGCTTCTCCTCATCTCGCTTTCCCTTTCTTTCTCACTCTCCTCTTCTTCCTCTCTCCTCTCCTCTCTGTCGTTTGGTTTTGTTTTGGTACTTTGGTCCTTCTCCTGAAATTGAATTGCTTGCTTTTATCCCGTTACCTCCCCAGATCCCTCGCCATGGATCCGCCAACGTGGAATCATCTCGCGCCGCCTTGTTAATGCCTCCGCCAACTCCGATCGCTCAGCATGGACGACCGTCGCCCCCAAGTACTGGTCGTGTCCATTGTCTTCTTCGTCGTCGCATCCATATTCGTCGCTCTGCGCTTTATATCGCGTCTCTGCATTGTGCGCAAAGTCGGTCTCCATGATTATTTGATGTTGTTGGCCTGGGTACGTGGATTAAGTCCGGACATAAAAAATTAAAAAAACAAAAACGAAGAAAAAGAAATAAAAAGATACAGGGGATTGATCGGATGGATGAGTTAATGATGCGACCAGATTCTTGACTTTGGCTTCTCCTTCTCCCTCTTCTATGCGACTAGTAAAGGCTTGGGTCTCCACGATCCCGACATCGACGCCGCCGCTCGTCCAAGTCTCAATCGCGCCAATTATGCCTTTACCGTGCTCTACGTGAGTGACTTTGGACTCGGTTTCCGCCGTTATCCGCTTGGCAACGTGCCCCTTCGCTTACCGTCGCTAGAATCCGGCTTTGATGGCCGTTAAAACCTCCATTCTCGTCTTCTACCTGACCTTGACGCAAGGTGAAAAAGTGTTCCGCTGGGCCAACTATGTGACTCTCGCCGTCGTGAATGCAGCCGGCCTGGCCCTGACCCTGGTCAATGTCTTTCAATGTCGCCCCATAGGCGCCGCATTCGCCTTCCCCAAGCCGCCCGGTGCGACCTGCAGCGACATCCTTACGCTATACCTCTCGTCCTCCCCCGTCAATATCATAACCGACTTGGCCATTCTCTTTCTGCCCAATCCCATCCTCACGCAGATGCGACTCCCGCGCAAGCAGAAGATTATTTTGGTCATCACCTTCAGTTTCGGTTTCTTCGTCGCCGTTGTCGATGTCATCCGCATTGCCTATTTGCAGAATGCCGCGACTTCGCGCCAAGTGGCTCTTAAGGAGCTTCACCTCCAAGATTCCCCCGGCGACGACTTTAATTGTATTTCTTCCCTGTCCTTCCCCCTCCCCGCTCCAAGGCTGACTGGTCTAGGGTTTGCCTCTTTGTCTTTCATGTGGTCCGTCGTCGAAGTCAACGTGTCGGTCATTTGCGCCTGCGTGCCCAGTCTGAAACCACTGGTAGCCCGCATCCTCCCCAAATTGATTCGCGATTCCGATGGCAGCTCGCAACCGACGGTCGACCCTGCCATGCCCGAGCTGCCAGAGATGGTCCAGCCTCCGTCTCCGAATGCGATTCCGAGCGGCCTCAATACCATGCCGCAGACCGAGCATCAGAGTAAACACAACTCGCCGTCGGGAAGTCGCAGTAGCGGTAGCCCACGAGATACAGAAGGACCCTTGGACATGCTCCAATTCCTGACGGTCCGTGACCCGGCGCCTGCGGATGCCGAAGCTGCAGAGACCAATACGGCAACCATCACCAGCGCCTCCTACCCCCCGACGATCACGTTCTTCGACTTTGTCAATATGCGAACTCCGACGAGCATGCTCAAATTGAGCAACAAGGAATCGATTGCTCCCGTGGCCCTCACCACCGTTCTCTTCTTCTTATGGGGCTTTGCCTACGGACTGCTGGATATCCTCAATAGTCAATTCCAGCAGATCGTGCGACTGGATGCGTGGCGTTCGCTGGGTCTCCACGCCGTCTACTTCGGAGGGTACTTCGTGGGACCGCCTTTAGTCGGTCGGGTCGTGCTAAAGCGATGGGGATTCAAAGCCACCTTCATCACGGGCCTGTGTATATACGCCTGCGGCACTCTGATCTTTTGGCCGTCGGCCGTGCTGACCTCGTACTCCGCTTTTACTATATCGAACTTCATCGTGGGATTCGGCCTGGCCGTGCTGGAGACTGCCGGCAACCCGTTCATTGCGCTCTGCGGGCCGCTTGAGAACTCCGAAATTCGCCTGAATATCTCCCAGGGTGTTCAGGCGGTCGGTAGTGTCCTCTCACCGCTGTTGGCTAAGAAGGTCCTGTTCCGATCCGTGACCGACGTCTCGGCCTTGGTGGACGTGCAGTGGACCTATCTGGGCATTGCGCTGTTTGACGTGCTGCTGGCCGTGGCTTTCTATTACCTTCCCATTCCGGAAGCCTCGGACGAGGATCTGGAGGAGCTGGCCAACCGGCGCCGCGCAGACAACATGACCAAGGTGCTAGGTGTCCCCGTGATCTGGGTGACGCTAGGGCTAGGGATCTTTTCGCAATTTTTCTACGTGGCCGGGCAGGAGGTGCTGTCCCAAAGCTTCGCCAGCTTTGTCGACACGTCTGACCCTGGGTAAAACTCACCCTTCGATGATATGTCACTTCATAAAAGAGGCCTCAGTAACTGACAGAGTTTACAGATCCAGCCTAGATAGCTTCCAGTATCTGACCATCGGCCATTCGGTCTTCGCCGTGGGACGATTTCTCGCCGCCTTCTTGCAGTGGTTCTTGAAACCACGGTGGATTCTCCTTCTGTCTTACGTGGGCATGATCGTCTTCGCCGTGCTCTGCATGAAGACCACCGGCTCTGCGGCCGTCGCGATGGGACTCATGGTGTACCTATTTGAAAGTGGCGCGTTCAGCATTATCTTCGCGATTGCCCTGCGCGGCACGGCGCAACACACCAAGACGGCCGCCTCGCTGCTGACTATGGCCATCAGCGGCGGTGCCTGCTTTCCCTTCGCCCAGTATGCCGCCGAATTGGCCGGCAGCGGCTCTTTCTCCTACAGCGTCCTGGTGGCCATGTTCTGCGCCGGGGCCATCTTCCCGCTGTACCTGAACCTGGTGCCCGCGGCCAAGAAGCAAGTCGACCCTGTTCCGAACGAGTATCTACGCCGTCATCGACGCCGCAGTCGTGCCAAGCCGAACGCCGTGCAGCGAGAGAAAGAGAACCCATCAACCGGAGGTGTCTTCTCGCGCCGACGCAGCGTGCTGACAGATCCGCTGTCTACTGTACATCTCCCCGATCAATCGCAGTCGCGGTCGCAATCGAACAACCCTCCGACCACCAAGCGCTCGTCTATACAGGGCGGACTCATGCATGATCTGGCCCCGTGGCCTGAAAACTGAGGGTTTCGCTTTTCCCTACCATTTTTCCTATCCTTTCCGCTTTCCTCTATCCCCCCCTCTCTCTCTTTCTTTCTATTCATCTCTCTATATCACATCCCAATTTCCCTTCACTTCAATGATACCCCAATCTTACGACTCTTACGGCTACTTTTTACCCGGTGTGGCGACGACCGTCATCTTCAAAAAGAGAACAAAAAAAAAAACAAAACTACCAACTTTTTGGACTTTTTGCATAATCGAGGAGTTAATGAGCCGGTCCCTAGACTCGACCGATAGAGATGACTATCTATCTATTTTTATCTAGATATTAATCATAGTGCTTGGACCTACCTGATGGATCCCGATTCAGGATTCGGAAGAAAACCAAAAGGGATGGTTCAATCTGGATCGAACGAACCAGGTTGGAATTTAATTGTTTGTTCTGTACATAGCTAGCATATACTGCGATGTAAAGTCGGCAGTTTAGTTATTATACCTCACTTAGTAATGATAATACTAGTTAACGTAATCCACGGCTGAGCCGTCCACACGGTCGTCCCGTCCACTTTCCCCGCAACTTCCCAATAATCATATTTCAATATTTCAACGCGTCATTTAATCACTACCATTTCTCAAAATGCCATTATCTCAAGAAAATCGAATTCAAATGGCAATCATTGCGTACAATAACAAAAAAATTCGTTCAAAATCAAAGGCTGCAGCAATATTTGGAGTGCCAAAGACCACATTCCTTGATCGGCTCAATGGAATTCAATCACGATCAGAAACACGCGCTAGTGGCCATAAATTATCAGCTCTTGAAGAAGAAGTCCTTGTTAAGAGACTGCTAGATGCAGATAAACGAGGCTTTTCAATTCGACCCGAATTTCTACGTGGAATGGTGTAGACTCTACTTCGCGAGCATACACAAGATCCGACTGCAGTTCTTGGAGTCAACTGGGCCTATTCATTTATTAAATGCTGTTCTGAGCTACGTACAAGATAAAATCGAAGAATTTCATATCAGCGGGCAAAGCAAGAGGATCCAAAAATAATAAAGCCATGGTTTGAAGCTATACGCGAAGCTATTCAAGAACATGGCATACATGAAGATAATATCTGGAATTTTGATGAGACTGGCTTTGCAATGGGACTCTGTACAACCTCTAAGGTTATTACTGCAGTGGAACGCAGTGAAAGACCTCGAAGAGTCATCCAAGGCAATCGCGAATGGGTAACAATTATTGAATGTGTGAGTTCTAAGGGAATTGCTATACTACCAGTGGTTATCTTAAAAGGGAAAGAACACCAGGCTCCGCGGTATCAAGAGCCTAACCTTCCTCTAGATTGGAGGCTTACCAACAGTACCAATGGCTGGACAACAGCCGAAATAGGCCTAAAGTGGTTAACGCAAGTGTTTAATCCTTTTTCTAAGTTCCATTCAACTGGTGCAAAACGGTTGCTTATTCTTGACGGTCATTCAAGTCATCAATCTGCAGAATTTGATACTTTCTGCAGAGAGAATGCAATTATCTGTCTTTGTATGCTTCCGCATATATCTCATCTTCTTCAGCCACTTGATGTTGGTATTTTTGGACCGCTTAGATGCGCATACAGAAAACTAGTTGAGAAGATGATGGCGGCTGGAAATAACCATATTGACAAGGGGGATTTTTTACACCTATATCCTTCTGCACGTGAAGAAATCTTGACTCAAAAAAACAGATGCAGTGGCTTTGCAGGATCAGGTCTTAAACCACTTGATCAAGACCGAGTTCTTGAGAAAATCACCTTTCAACTTCGCACACTAACACTACCATTACTTACTGAAGGCTCAATATCATCGGCTTTTTAAACACCTCAGAACTCTCGCCAGATTGATCGTAAGGTTCAAAGGCTACAAAGAAGTCTTCAAAAGAAAAGAACACTTTCTAACAGTCCAGTCTCTCATATCCAACATCTTGAAAAAGCTGCGCAAATGGCAAGAAATAAAGGTTCTACGAGCTGAAAATGAGCGAAAAATAAAGAAGCGAGAAAACGCACGTCTGTAGGAAATGATCTCTTTATATCTGTACAGGAAGGCCGTGACCGCACTCAGCAGCTTGATACGCAGCTTAATGAGCAGGTTGATAAGTCTACACCTGTGTCTCGCCAACGCGCTCCATCACGCTGCAATGGCTGTGGGACAGTTAGACATACAATACGAAGCTGCCCTAGTAAATAGCTATTCGTTTTATATTTCATACAGTCTAATTCAATGATGTTGTCAGTCGTAAAACTTCAAATTCATGATGGTTGCGGGGGAAGTGGACGGGACGACCGTGTGGACGGCTCGGCCGTGGATTACGTTGTTAGTTAACTATATCTTTATAACTTTTTACTTTCTTAGTACAACGCAGGACCCACATGGTACATGATAGTTACCATGTCGTAAAGCATAAAAAGACAGCAAAGGAGAGAAAGTTGATAAAAATAAAATAGGTATATTCATAATATATGCACTGGCATAAAAAACACGTCCTATCTACATGAACATTAAGGAAAAATAAAACCGGCGCCTCTATCCCGAATCACGCGCTTGAGAAACCGAAACAAAAACATCAAACGAAATTCGTCATCATGATCACAGATCGTTTTGGAACATCATCCACCTCTCGTTTTTGAGGGAGAGTAGATGAGTTTACTGGACTGAACTGGATGGAATAATTTACCACCAGTCACCGTGGTCCTTCATGGCGGCAGCGACCTTAGTGAAACCGGCAATGTTGCTACCGGTGACCAGGGAAGGCAGCACACCGTCGGCGGGGGTGGCGTACTCGCGAGCGGTGTCGAGACCGTTCTTGAAGCACGACTCCATGATGTCCTTCAGGCGAGCGTCGACCTCCTGGGCAGTCCAGCTGAGACGGGCCGAGTTCTGGGCCATCTCGAGACCGGAGACGGCGACACCACCGGCGTTGGCGGCCTTACCGGGGGCGTACCACATGGCGGCAGCGCCGGCGTTGGCCTCACGGTGGGCCTCGAAGATGTCAATGGCGGCCTGGGTGCAGCCCATGTTGGAACCCTCGGCGATGAACTTGGCGCCGGCGGCGATCAGGGCCTGAGCCTCCTCGCCGGAGACCTCGTTCTGGGTGGCACTGGGGAGGGCAACGTCGACCTTACCGACGTGGATCCAGGGGCGAGCACCGGGGATGTAGCGGAACTTGGAGGCGAAGGCGTCGGTGCCGGAGATGGAGGCGATCTGCTTGCGGTCGACCTTCAGCTTGGCGATGATGTCGATCTCCTCGGGGGTGAAGCTGCTGCCATCCTTGGCGACCAGCGAGCCCTGGCTGTCAGACAGAGACACAACGGATCCACCCAGCTCGATGACCTTGAGAGCGGCGTACTGAGCCACGTTTCCGGAACCGGAGATGGCGACACGCTTGCCGGCGAAGGACTCCTTGCCGTCCGTGGCGTGCTTGATCATGTGGTCAACGTACTGTGCGATTGTTAGCTTCTGTTGCTGTCATGTAGGATCAAGAGAGAATCCAATGGAGAACATACGTAGACAACACCGTATCCGGTAGCCTCGGGACGGATCAAGCTACCACCCCAGGTGCCGCCCTTACCGGTGAGGACACCCTCCCACTGGTTGCGGATGCGGCGGTACTGGCCGAACAGGAAGCCGACCTCACGGCCAGTGACACCGATATCACCGGCGGGGACATCGGTATCGGCACCGATGTGCTTGCAAAGCTCGGTCATGAAGGAAACACAGAAGCGACGGATCTCGCTGTCGGACTTGCCCTTGGGGTCGAAGTCGGATCCACCCTTACCACCACCCATGTTCAGACCGGTCAGAGCATTCTTGAAGATCTGCTCGAAACCCAAGAACTTCAGGATGGAAAGGTTGACGGAGGGGTGGAAACGGAGACCACCCTTGTAGGGGCCCAGGGCCGAGTTGAACTGGACACGGAAACCGCGGTTGACCTCGACCTCACCCTTGTCGTTCTCCCAGACGACGCGGAACTGGATGACACGCTCGGGGACAGAGACGACGGCGAGAGCCTTGCGGTACTCGGGGTTCTTCTGGAAAAGAGTGGAGTTCTCCAAGGTGGAGGCAAGCTCTGCAGGGGGCCAAGGTTAATATTCTTGTTTGCGATGGGGAAGTAGTCGATTGAGATGAATCGACAAGAGACATACCCTTGTAGGCCTGCTCGAACTCGGGCTCGATGGGAAGGTTAGACATTGTGAAGGGAGGTGGCGATAAGGTAGTTTTGAAGAGAGAAGTATTAAGGATTAAAGAGACTCTGGACCGTGCTGCAAAAGACTAGAAAGTCAAGAGAGGCAGGAGTCAATTGGGTATCCGAGAGAGATGGAGAGCAGGAGTGAGTGAGTGAGTGAGTGAAGGAAGAAGGAGGGAATCGAAGGGACAAAGAAGAGGCTTTATGTTCCAGGAAGGCACGGCGGAGGAAAGCGAGGCAGCCGGAGTCGGACGAGACGGGGTGTGGGAACGCCCGACGAGAGGAACGGTTGCACCGGGCGGCGATTGGTGGGAAAAGGGCGGAATGGCCGGCACGTCCGAAGTTCGGGCTGTTATTCGATCCTTTAATGTCACAGTTTTCCTCTTATCTATCGGCGGAAACCCGCTCCCCCCGCCAGCCCGCTTTCGGCTTCCGGGAAATCCTCGTGCTGAGTCAACGTCTCTACTCGGGAGACCGTGGAATGGCAGAGACCAGGTAACATTGGGACTGGGAGAGGATATTTCTACCAGACAGTTTCCTGTTTAATCCCGTCCAGTGAAAGTCTACATGTAACCAGTCCAGTGGATGTTGCTTCTATAGGAGTACTCCGTATAGTACAGAGTTCGCCGACCACCTGCCAAGAATGCCGACCGGCGGTGGACACGTGACCCTTCGTATCAGTTATCAGATCATTTTACTCACCGCAGCTTATCAGCTATCGCCCCTCGCTTAACCCAACTGGGCGGTCCGGTGGTCTCCCCATATGCCCAAATTGCCAAGTCACCAGGCGGGGAAACGGGGAACTTCTCTTCCTGTTTCCTCCGAAAACAGGACTAATCTTATTTTTCATCTCCGGAGTACCACTCTACCGTCATCGTGGGGTGCGAAGAAGGGGTTGATCAATGTGATCATGCGACACTCACCCTCTCTCTCTCGACGACATCATTGCGACGTGATATCCTCCGATCGGCCGTCTCCTCCTTGCTGTTTGATCCTACTGTACTCAACTACTCATAGCATAGAGCTTGCTAGTATCCACGTACAGTAGTGTCGAATATGCACAGATGCACCAGGGTATGCGCGGTGCAGTCTACTCCGATGCACGTACCATTGGCCTGAGCCGGGGTATCGGGACTTGAGTCCGAGATTAGAGTTAACCTTTGGGACCAATCCAAAGCTTTTTTCTTCCATCGGTTCCATGAATCCATTGCCACTCGGTGGTCCGTCCTCACTTGCCGTGCTTCTTCCCCCCTCTTCCCTCCTTCTTCGCCTTCGCCTTCGCCTTTCACCTTTCTCCCTCCGACTTCAATGCACCAGACATCTGCACTCTGCACGACCCAGGGTTGGACGGTGTACCCACCACCCTCCCTCCCGTTCGAAGGATCGGCCGCCAAGCACTCCCACTAATGCATCTTATTTCGGCTCTTGGGTACGGCTGTCCCCATCGCCATGTGTCCTCCGGTGGCCATTGGTCTCACTCGCGGCCCTCCCTCCGTCTCGTCCCATCCTTGCGTCGGGCCTTTTTCCTGTCAATCCATTTCATCCCATTATTATTCATATGATTCACACCTGCTAGTCTTATCGTCCTTATCTCTGCCACTATTCCCAATAGCCCGTAGCCTCGTACAATAAAGCACCTCCCCGCATCGGTGATGCGAAGTGCCTCACTAGTAACAGACTGCAGTAACTTTCCCCCATCTCTTATCTACCCGTGTGGGGGGGGGGAGACACAACCCTCGCACATCAGATTCGATTTCGCACCTCTTTCGTGTAATACCTTGGATGATAGGAATCTGATTTGTCCGCCTGGAAGAACGACCGGGGAGAAGAAAAATCAGAAGTTGCCGCTGCTGACGCTGACGTGGACACGCACCTCAGAAAGATGTATTGATCGCTGGCGATCGACATCTTCCTGCTCCTGGGCATGTTCATTGATTCGGTGGAGGGGAGGAAGGAGCTCCTATGATCATGGATATTTCTAATGTCTTGGTCCAACGGTTCTTTCTACCCTTTCTTTGCCACTGCGGAGTACTCTCCATCTGGAGTCTACCCAACTTTCAGAATGCGGCCGATTTCGCTCCACTGATGGTATATCTCTTCGCATTCTTTTTCTTTTTCTCCTTCTTTCTCTTCTCTTCCTTTTCTTTTCTTCTCCATTTTGCTCTCTCGCTTCCTTTTTTTTTTTTTTTTTTTTTTTCCCATTTTCGTTTATCATTCATTCTCTCGAATGCGTAGTGCCTCGAAGCATCTTCAAAAACCCTCCCCTATTACTGCTGTGGTTCCATAGATCCCGATGTAACCGTTTCTCCATAGAAGTCGAGTCCAGGTGAAATGGCCCCGAGCACAACAGTATCCCCAGTCGGCTGAATCGACTATCGACACAATCCAGTCCGATGGTTTGTAGCGAGCTAGCCGCCGTGCTATGCTCATTTACACGACATATTTCCCATTGGCCCAAAGAAGGATTGGTTGCAATTGTTTATATAATAGGCACGCCCCGGGGTAGGATATCATGATGAAGCCAGGCTGTGCGACTGTACCAATATCCTCCGTTCTAAATAATGAGGTTCTCTTCACAGGTTGCCACAATCACGGGGCGAAGGCGCCCTTGCCTCTATAGAATGCAGCTTGAAACATGGGTTCGGAAAAGCAGTTTTTCTAGTTGCATGTCATCCTCATTCTTGACCGATAACTAAACTACAAGTAAACCAAACATACGTATGTCGCCGCCCTTGAATATGGCATGAGTCAGATATGACCGAAAACGCTCAAAGATATTATGAACTACATAAGTGTGTGAAATGTAGTACTTTGCCTAACGCATAATCAAAATATCTCCCGGAGTTCCGTGGGCTTTAGCCTTCATAGTACCAAGAAAAATATTATTATTGTAAAACCAAGTGACAACATCATAAAGAATACTATTAATAAAGAAAAAGATATATCCACGGGACATACCAGCACCAAACAGACCTTCAAAAGCGACAATCCAGTCAGGATAGATCATAGAACCGCCGACTATTCTACCTATTCTCTCTGTATATCTTGACCTCTCGATCCAACCCGCCTTATCACTTCCTACATACGAGATTCAAGCGCACATCACGCCAACATGACAAGTCTCCCACGTGCGCTGGACTCGATCGGTACCCCCTGTCAAACGCTAATGATAAGCATAAACAGCCAAGCGTTTCGTAATTCTCTATGCATGACATAACCACTAGTATAGGTACTTGGTAGGTACATGGTAGGTACTGTGCAGGTATATACACACGAGGGTGTGAGCTTAGTCGCAATCAACCAAGCACCCAGAGACATGCACCAATTCGTTTACCATGGGAATCCAAATGAGTGAAGCTCTTGATCATCAATTCATTGACAGTTGCATCCTCCTTGGCGGTCAATTCAAGACATGGTTCATCTAGAGCAACGCAGTGACCATCTCGGAAGCCCGCATACAGGTGCCTAGGTAATCAGTCTCTTTCAGATATAGCGACAACAAACCCAGCGCTGCTCATCCACAGCAGATGGAGAATATCAGTTTGATAGTGAAGCTATATCTGAAGCCTGGGTTTGATCACAATATACAGCACATAAGGTTTTACTTGCATGCCTGTTATTCTCTCGACTTATTACGTACCTCGCAGTAGAGCTGACCTGACCTCGGTTCAAACATCCTCATCTTCTCACTATAGGAGGATCATAGCGACAATCATAACGACGCCTGCGATATGTTTTAAGATATGAATTCCTTATAGCCAGTCAAACTGGCTATTATTTTGATGAGGCGGAGACCGCAGTAAGTCGACATTGTATGGGATCCCAACATTCTTGGGCTATGTGCGCCAATCCCGGACCACATGAGAACAACCGAACACCTCCCGAGAAAATAACCTCCCATCGAGCATTGAAGGTCTGTGGCAAGTCATCAGGAACAACGCCGACTGCACCTGTTGCTCGGGGTTCATCGGTACCTTGTTACCGGATCACGCGATCGACGGCTGTATCTGATCTGTGGAGATAGTGACATTTGTATGATTATATTCTCTCATTATATAGTCGGCAGAGTTCAATCAGATTCCCATATGCACCGTCCGCGGCACGTGACCACATCCATAGGGAACATCGCCAATGCTGAATATGTTATGAAGAAGCGGCCGGTGGGGATGATAAAAGGGATGGTGGTGTACTCGATTGCGGACCTTTCGGGTACGACTTTGAGGGGTTGTTCGTAGGTAGCGTTGAATCTGTCTGTTTGGGTGAATCTAGCATTAGATCCTAATGATGACTATTCAACTATTTTGGTCCTTCGGTTCATGCCTATTTGGGAAGGCACAGCATCGTAGTCACTGGGATAGATGCTCAGAATACAGGTCTTCTTACCAAACGGCTAATGGTCTCGCTATTCTCTACCCATTTATCTTCATTTTAGGTACATCGAGAATGCATTGTCGAAGCAAGGCATTACATATTCATTGACCCCATTTTAATTATCACCGGACTGAGAAAGTCCATTACTCTATCTCTCACCAACATCATCTTGAGCGAGCTCTTGTGGCATCGTGTCTCTGCTATATTTCTGCCTGATGAGTATGGCGCATGCAGGACCCAGAATCATTTACTGCCGCGTTAAGACACCACCAGGTCAATCTATACTGGAACCCCAGTCGATGTACATGTCGTAATCACAGAATCCCGACCACCATGGAGTATACTAATGAGATGGAAGCAGTTAAAATGAGGAATCTTAAACACCATTTATGTATTGGAAACAACCGACGTTGCAACGCATGAGCGGTTAAATTTCTTAGACACTCAGGTGTGGACACGGTATCCAGCACCCAACTGATGAAAGCCGGGGCTTCCTAGACACGTCACAATTCTTAAGTGGTCAGAACTAGGTTCTAGGGAACTGATGAGAGTATGATATAGATAATGATAATAAAAGGAACAAGGTCGATGTCGAATGACTACCTTTTGCTGAAGCCTCTGAGGGCCCAAAGAA